ATTATTGAAAATAAGCACCAAATGCTCAGCAGTTTACTTATCTGCATTGCAATAGCATCCCTAGTTCCCTGTAAGGATTAGGACATGCTCACTGCTGACTGCAGCCCTTACCTCAAACTGTTTCAGTGCTGCAAAACACCCTGTGGCAAACGGCTGTGGCTGCATTGCCCCTGGGGAGAAATCCATCTGTAATCCCACCTCCTTAGGGGTCAGCTCCGGTGTGAAGGCCCAGCCAGCTGGAATCCCAGGGGTGGAGAAGTTGAAGGAAGAAGCAGGTGGATTTTGTGTTTGGTTACAGAAAAATGACTCTGTAGGGACCACAGCCAGCTGTGAGAGGTCATGGGAGCTCCTTTGAACCCTACAAAGCATGTGTGTGTGCATTGGGTGGGGTGGACAGAAGTTGAATTAAAGACAACTGAGTGATCTAAAGCCCTGAGACGTCCCTCTAGAGCTGCAAGAATTGGCTTTTAAGCATGACTTTGCATTAACTGCTTCCACTGGTTCTTGATAGTCTTCTTAAAGCTACTCTTCTACAGTAAAACAGTCTTCACCCGTTCTTCTCATTTTTCATCTGTAGTTATTCTCTGAAGGTAAATCTAAAGTCTTTGCAGCATGTACGCTTCAAACATATAGTTAGGAAAGTCTGATGAGACTTGGGGGACACTGCGCAGCTTTTAGTCACCTTTGATGGCAATACCTACCCTCTTCTCACAGATCCATCTGTGGATTCTGTCACAGTTCTTGTGGTCAGAATTTGGTCAGTTATTCTGAACAGCTGCCTTTTCTTTCTAGTTACCCTTCCAAAGAAATATTTCTTTCTATTCCCAAATGAAAAAAGCCTTCTCCCTTCCAAAATGGCTAAATGTTTGTGATGGACAGTATGTTGGACTAGTTTCACTAACTCACTTAAGTTTCTGTGCTCTGTAGCAATCTAAGCAGGAAAGCAATTAAAGCTCCGAGAAGTGACTCTTGATGCAGCTTCTTTTTCTAGTAGATTCATTTTAATTATTTGCTTTTCATGTCTTTTTTTTTTTTTTAGTTCATGTTAGAGATCCTTCTGAGTCTCACAAGCCTATATTGCTGACTTCATAAAAGGTCATATTCATCATATTCATGGATGAATAAATAGGCAAAATAAATCCTCTCTTAGATATGTCAGCTATATACATATGGTGTGGTAAAGGTTGAAGTGAACCCAAATTTGTGCCAAGCAACCCTCAGAGCTACTCTCTGGGACACACTGATCAAAGTGAGTATCAGTACACAGAGAGAGAGACAGGTGCATGCACTTATGTGCATTTTACAGACCATACTGCCTCTAGGTTGGAAAGCCAGCAATACAAAACTGTGCATACCCACTTGGGACAGGAAGTGAGAAACTATCTTTAGCTGAAATTGTAGTGGAAAGGAAAGGAGATGAACAGAAGGCTGTTTATGTTTGTGTCTGCATTCTACGAACACTGATATGGGACTGTCTGCAGTGATGAGGAGTTCCCCACTCAAGGTCAGTATTTCCAGCATGGTCTGTGCCCTAGCAAGAGAAAGGACAGTTGTCTTGCTCTAGCACACTGTTGCACAAATGCTCAAAGCAGTCTCTAAGGTTGGTGGTGATCACAAGACGAGTGAGCAAACATGATTCTCTGTCAAATAAATTCCAGGGGATTTCAAATCCATTCTCTGAAGGCATCAAACTCACGTGTCTTTAGGGAGCACCTCTTTCTTTGTATGTTTGCAGTAATTTCCTGATCCTGGTGCAACACACAGCCATTTCCTTCCTGAGTAGCATCATCCTCTGGGAATGGAAAATTTCCTCCTTTATCAGAGCTTGACAGACAGCAGAGTGATTTGATAATACTGATTTGTTCCCCGCTGCCAACCCCACCTAAACACTGCATCTCACACATTCCAGGTCGATGTTTTCTTTGAGCAGCACTTTGCATTGTGCCCCAGACCTCCTAGGGCCAACGGAACTTGTCCACTAGTTCAAATCAGGTTAGTTTATAGTTCTTCTCATAGGACAGTTCTAGAGAAAACTTATGGGTTTTTGTTTGTTTTTTTTTCATTGTTTTATCTGTAAGTGTTGGCATTAGATTTGTTTACATCACTACAGAGCAAGGTGTGTAATCTTGCAGGAGAGATACTTGATAGGTGACATTTTTTGGCCAACAAGTTATCTACAAGATCCCATTCCAGGATAAATGATGGTTTTGACAGAGTGCTTACCAGAACTGTTCTCTGGTCTCCTCTGCACAGGAGATCAGATTAGATAATCAAAACAGTCCTCTGTGAACCAATATGAGAGGTTCAATTCTCAGACTCCTCCAGTTCTTCATTTCTTTATTCTACATAAATTGCATGAAATCACTGTCGATTGTGATGGTAGACATGTTGCAGAAGAGATGTACAATCATTGCTTCATTAGCTAGCCTGGTCACCCAGAAAGTGAGAACCACTGTAACTCATTCCAATGGCCTGAACCAGCCACTATCCTGAAAGACTATTTATATTTGCACACTGCAGGTGACATCTGTCTCAGCTCCTATCTGCTATTCTCATCATCTCCTCCATGCATTTACCAGATGTTGGAATGGAGGCATATACCTTTTCACGAAACCATAGCCACCAGGCTCAATCAGCTCACATTTCTCCAGATGTTTTGTGATCTCATCACTTATTAATGTTCCTAGCTAAGTTAGCTCGACTCTAGGTCAGGATAAGTGGTTGTAACCTCACCAACCAGTTTTGGAAGAATTCACTAAGACTGATTTTTGTTAGTTACCCTTAGTTACCCTCCTCCCCACACTCATCCCTGTGGAGCTTTTAGTTTTGGACATAGATTTCTCCCCAGTCTTACGGCCATTTCAGAGGTGTAAGTCAGCAGAACTTCCCTATTGATTTGCTACGAGCAACATGAACTCTGTCAATCATTACAAGGAATAGATATATGGATAGCTTCCAAATTGACAAGATAGTTCTGTAACGATTTGCACTGTCATAGTTCTGTGCACGTAAGAAAGCTTTCAGCTTTAATTAACACCCTGAAGACACGGGTGGATAAAAGCACAATCTCAGCAATCGCTCGTGCAGGTTTTCTGCTCAGAATTTTAAAATTGGGCCCAAATTCTCCTTCAGCACCTTACCTCTACAACCATTTCTTTTGAAAGTTACTAATTTTGTCTACACATACTTCATGAAATCGGTGCCTAATTGCATGTGACCATAACAGAAAAGTAGTCAGGAGTAATTCTGTAATGTGCTGCAGGCTACAAAGTATGCAAGCTGAAGTGTAATTCTGAGGATCTTCAGGAATATTGTGGCACATAAACAGAGCTAAAACAGAATTTTTAAATACATAAATTCTTATTTAAGAGTGGGAGATAGATAATATGGTGGATAAAAAAAATCAGTTACTGAAATAAAGGAATGTTGTTAAATTATTCAGATTATCACTTATTTATGAACCCCATGTGCCATGCCCATTCATACTTCAACATTCCTGGAATCACTTATTTACTGCCCAAGTCCAGGGCTTACGTCTTATTTTCTTCTGCAGCTCTAAACTGACTGCAAATCTTTGCAAGCATGTGGCTCCTTTCAACCAAGCTGAGAAAGAGATAAACAGTATAAATCTTCCACTTTCTCAGTCCGTGGCATCTTCACTATCACAAATGCAGGGAATATCTGCAAAGTGCAAATTCTTTGGATTATTGAATTCCTCCTGTCAGTCTACTGCGATTGGCTTCTTTCATTTTTTTCCTCAAGGCTGTGTGCGTGATCTTTATCCTTTAGTGTTTGACATTAACTTGAACTGAGTAATTGTACCTTTGAACAGGAATGACACTGTTCCTGGCAGCTTAGTAAAAAATATGAAGTCAAAAGCAATGAAAGCAGGGTTTTCCTTCTGTCCCCTTCACTCCATGTGCGCGTTTGGGAACAGTGCTATGGTGGAGCTATAGCTGCCTGCCAGCACCATTTTTACCCCCTTTTTGAGTTTGACTTGCAGCATACTCAGTGACTGAAAATGCAAACATAACACATCCCTCAACCTATACAGCTTCTACTGCACCCATCATAGACATGTCTGGGAGCTCTTACTCATGGGAAAGAGACTAAGTGTATCAGACAGATAAAAACCACTTATTATCTGGCATTACATGTTTTTCCAAGGAAGGTGGTGGAAGTTTTCAGCAGCTATGTCATTTTCCCCTGATTGTTTTAAACAGGAAACAGAAATGCTCAGCTTCAGGCATCAGCTTTAAGTTATAACTGAGCTTTGGTCAGATTTCAGCCTGATCCTGGAGTCCCAGCAGCTGACTGTCCTCCAAATCAAAACCATTCTCTCCCTCTCTATGTTTTCTCAGAGCATGAACCTGCAAGCTGCAATGCCTGTCCACCAGGAGCAAGGAAAGCCTGGAATATTTTCCTAACCAAAAGTATACCTGAAGTCTCCTGGGAGTCTGCAGACACGGTCTGTGCATACTTTCATTACACAGATCTGGAGTGACTGCCAGCTTGCATGGATGCCCTTACCCAATACTCAGCATTTCAGCAGAAATAAAGCAAGCCTCCCAGAAAAGACTCATAGCGTTTCCAAAAGCACAGATCTCTCTTCTGTCCTTTCCCTAAATTGCAGCTCAAAATTTGTGCTTATTCTTCCCTAAATAGCTGAGATTCAAGCCAAATGAAGGTAGTGCTGTTTGTTTTCAGTTTGCAGACGCTAGCTAAAGGAAATACTGTAAATTACAGCATGAACATGCCACACCAGTGTGAATGTATAGCTGAGAGCTCCCCAGCCAGCTTGCAAATGTAGCTGAGAGCTCTTTGTTAAGTGGGAAAAGCAAAGCAACGTAGTTGTTAGAAACAAACAGTCATGTAAGTTTCAGGACTTACCCTGAGTCATCCCTGGCTCCCTCATCTCGGGTTGATGTTTTCATCATTACAGCAAACTTTAAGACACTTTCTGTTTCACAGTGGCTTTAGAGTTCCTTGGTAAAGAAAGCAATTCCTTTCCATCGCTGAGCAGAACATCCACATCCTCTGGTTTTGTATTGAAGATGATATTTCAAGGGGCAGCAGGGGGAGGACGTTTAAAACCAACTTCAGGCTCAGTAATATCGGAGGGCAGACGACTAAACAGGCACTGAAATGAAAGCAAACTACCAAGAAGGTCTGATTTTAGCCTCTCTTCTTTCTACTTCCTGTATTTATATGAATGGGGGATTTCAGGAAGAGGCAGTCTTTGGTGGTCAAGGGTGTGTGTGTGTGTGTGCGTGTGTGTGTGTGTATATATTAGAAAGCCATATTTAGTAGTGAAGGCAGGTTAACCTTATTAGAAAGAAGGGCCTGAAACTGTCAGCTTCTACTTTGTTTCTCTAACTTAAGTAAATACAGGGGAGTTTGTTTTACAGACTGCAGGTATATCAGTAGGCAACAGAGCATGGTGAACTTTGTAAAGGATTTTATAAGGCAGCAAAGCATTAAGTCTCCGTCTGCAAATTCCTGAAGCATGTGTATTTCTATTGCTTGAGTAACTGGAACCAGATGGAGCTTGGAAACCTTTATATTTACACAGGACCTGGGAAAATGAAATGTCTAACACAGGCAGAGGACATTTATGCAAAGAAGTTAATGCAGAAGGTAATGATAAGGCTGTAAGACTGCTAGTAAATGAACAGCTGTCTGTTTGACCTGGAGTTACTTAAGTGGTTGAGTAGTTTGCTGTACTGAAAACCCAACTGAACACAGACCAGCTGTGGAGGCTGGGAGCTGACAGATGTGCTGTCAGACAGGGCTAATGGCACTCCTGCTTGGCAGCTCTATTATTCAGGAAATATTTGATGTTGGAAGAATGCATAATGGAAAAAAGCAAAGTAGAAATATGAAGCAGAGGCAAAGAAAAGTAATTGCTTGGAACAGAGGAGATGACAGTAACTTGTTTCTCCTTTTATTTTTAGAAGAAACTTCTCAGCTTTCTATTGTCCAGTAAGTACTTTGCCATGTAGCCCACCTTAGAAATGGAAACGTCGGGCAGCTCCCAGTGTATCCGCATGAGAGAAACTTGACTTGTGTAGAACACAGAACTTGTTCTGCTAGCTTGAGCTTGGAGGAACCGGGGAACCTTCCTGTAATCTAGACCCATTTGTGTAACTCAAGATGAACTTTTCTCAAGGGTTTTTCAGTCAAATATTGTGTTGGCATTGGGAAACCTCTCTTCTAGCTTCCAGAAGGATTTCTCTTAGAAAATCAAAGAGCTGCATAAAGGCTGCATGATGGAAAATCCACAACCCTGCTACAGGTGTCTTGCTGTTTAATTATCAGTATCATCTAGATTTCAGACCAGACTTTTTGCCTTACCTAGTCTTAAGATTTCTGTTATTGTATCTCATTATATTCTCTTCTACTAAATTAAGGACTTCTTCGCTCCAACTCATGTTGCCAGTTAGACAATTACAAACTAATTCAATGTTGCATTTAACTCTTAAGCAAACTGGTTGGCTGAGATTCACTCATCCCTCTTTGCAGGCTTGTCATATCTCATGAATCTTTCTGGTAGCTGCAGTACTGTTGGTTCTGGGCACAGAGATCCAAGAAGTACACTCCAAACTTGTTCTCCAGCTTGTCGCCTTTGAAATACACCTTGGATATTAGCATAAGAACAAGATTCTAGATACATTCCACAAATTCAGCCCCATGCCACCATTTCATTTCCCTACATTGCAACCCGGCTAGGACTGGGATACTGAGTTTACCTTTGCTTATCTGGGAAACAAGGGTAGAAAGCTTTAAGGGTGAGCTGTTCTGCATGAACCTACTCAGATGGAGAAATCTGCTTACACAAAGATGCAGTCATCCTAGGCAAAGAAATAAGACCCTATAGATGCATAAGATCAGTTTTCAGCAAGCGACAGGCATTTCCAAAAATGCTGTCAGGCAGGAAGTACTATTAAAAACACAGGAAAAAAATTGCAAAAATACAGAATACAAAATACAGTATTGTGGTCTTTCAGTTTGACATTATTTGAGAAAAGCTCTTTTTTGTTTTTTTTTGTGAAAACTTTCACACAATTCATAATGGTACAGGTTCAGAAATGTGAAGTTTTTACAGTATTTCTGTTAAAGATAATGGGCAAAAGTTCTTGAAAAAGACTCTTTTTTTTCCTCACAAATATGTTAGCGTCTCTGCAATATTGTATAAGCATTTCTGTAAAATACATAAAAAATGGAAATTAGGACGAATTTTAATATATTTTTTCAGAGCTTTTCTGTGTGTTTTTTCTTAAGCCAGAGATCTGATGGGCTTGGAGTGAGACGCTGTGTTGTAGGATCAGGCTGTGGTACACAGTTGTACAAAAGCTACATGACAAACACTGCAAAATGGCACTTCTCTGAGATACATCCAAGCCAAACAGGTTTTAGAGAAAACTTGGAGAATTATTTAGATGTGACATATTCATTAAACTAATTTTTAGCCTACAGATTGCTGCAATATCAGTGTGAGCTAGAAGGAAGGGGGTGGGGGAGAAATTCTTGTCCTTTTTTTGGGCTGATTCACCCCTTCCATCTTAAAGCACACCATTTGGCCGAGTTGAGAAGGTTTAAAAATGAGAGAAGCGCTTAAGTGCAGTTTGGTTTTATTGAAGTGCTTTCAGCATATGCACAGACTATGTGACATTTCTGCTTTTCACACAGTAGGATGCAGCTGCATCATGGTATATTCCTGCAGGAGCTGTCATGCCTATTGTGTCACTAATCCATAGATTACGAGCCTTTTATAAAGCCTATTACATAACAGGTCACGATGGGTCATGAGGTCAAACGTACAGGGAATTAAAAGAATGGTACTTTCCACAGCCAGAATTTGATTCTTGGAAGTTAATTCTGTAGGGAAGAGGAGTCATTTCCTTAGAAACACCTAGCCTAGCATATACCGAAGAATGAACCCTCATGCAAAAGTCAAAGAAAGCAGGATATTGCTTTTCTCCACTTCACAAGGATTCTCCTGTAGATACACAAAAACACAGTGGCTAATTACAGGTTTTATACAAAAGCATGCAGTGTGGCTATGGAAAATAAGGTCAAACTTTTATCTCTGTCACCTGGGGTAAACTGGCAAAGAGTATTAATGGGAAGACTCTTGCCTAATGAATAGTTAAAAAATATAGTATATGGGAGTAAGGTTCCTTCTTCAAAGAACTGAGTTTAGAAGCTTTCCTTCAGCCCAGAATATACAGCATACAGAGACTGTGCATCTACCCTAGAAGTCATAAGATAGCTGTATGTCTGCCTTTTGGAATAGGCAATCAAGAGTAAGTGGGACTATTTTTTTTCTCTGCTATCTCCAGAGCCTAGGTGTCTGGGAAGGTGAAACAGCACTATGGGGCTTTTAGATCACGCTTCCATTCCCTTTTGTCAGCATTCAGTACCCAATGGGAACCTGATGGATTCCACTGTACCATGGGGCCAAAATACTGGATAAGGACGTTTCTGAGATTGCCATATTTGTTCTGGATTGGTGCCTCAGTACAGCAGACGATATTCTCAGCAGACCAAACATTTCTAGTACCAAAAGAGCAAATCTTGCATTTTGAAATTGCTGTGGATCAAACTGATACACTTGACTCACCCCAAAATACTGGCTTGATCCAAGTGATACTCCCTTGAACAGATGAAAACGTGGACCTTCTGTCTTTCAGTGTGGCAGAGTCCAGATTTCAGCAAGAAAGTGCAGGCACATATCCTAGCTGGGTCCTGAAATTTTAGATTTTCAACAATAAATAAGAGAACGCTTCACACGGTCTCATCACCTGAGAAAAATACAATCCAGTAGTTCTTATATAATTTATTGATAGTGTACATGTGTTAATCACATAGTGCATTACCATACTGACTGCTAGATTCTTTTATAAATGCCTATTTAACTATTTATTTTTAATTTTCCACAACAAAAATAATCAAATTTCATGCCAACATTTTGTAACAAATTATCACATTAAATCCATATGGATTTCATGACATATTAATCTGTACAAAGGACCCCATATACACAGAGCATTCACAGTGCATAAGGTCACAGTCATTGAAAAAATAAATAACATGATAAATAGAATTTTTGTTATTTACAGTTTACAAACTCATCCCTTTCTGTTTTCAAAGTAAGCAGTTCTAGAAAGTTTTAATAAAATTTAAAGAGGTACTGCACCACCTAAGGGTGCACTGCAAATGGCTGTAAGTATGAAGCACAGGGAAGTGTAAAAGGTTCAGAAGTTATTTTAGCAATCGTAAATGATTTCAAATACCTGCTTGCAATGGAGGAGATAGCAGGTGCCAAATTCTGCTCACAATTCCACTGATGAGAATTTGTGCCAACTATCAGGACAATAATGAGAGCTGGCATCGCTCCCAAGAATGTGAAGGCAAGAATTTGGTCGTAACTTCACTGCAGAGTTTCAGCCATTTGGAACAATGATGCTGCTGGGGAAGCAGACTTGAGTGTTCTCTGTGTACCCAACCGGTATATGAATGAAGGCAATAATCTTTTCTGCAAAATCCTCTGAAAAGAAGCATCACAATCTTTCCAGAGACTTTATCTGTCTGGTTTTGATATATTCTGATAACCTTTAGATTTTGTCATAATTCCCTATTGCTATAAATCAACCTTTATATTTGTTTTTCAAGTTTGCCAAGATCATCTCAATGATAAGACAGCAACAATCACATACATTCTTTGTGCAACTAAAAAAAAAAAAAAGAATTAAATTCAAATTGGTAACTCTTGTAGGAAAATACCAAGTGACCTTAATTTCCTACACTCTTTCATTTATTTCAGAGGTTTACTATATGTCAGAAGTATGGTAGGAAGCAGAACATATGATGTACAAAGTGCCACAATCATTATACATCTCAGCCTGTAGAGAAGGAGCTACACGTATTTCAAATTTCAGGATAGGGATGAAGAATCTCACGGGGTGAGATCCCTTCTGAAGCTTTCTCCAGGGAGAAAATAGGAGGACATCACACATGGGGAAAGAAATAGCATGCTCAATTTATTCACATTGAGGTTTTTCAATCTGTGCACACTAGGTCAGGAATTGGAAAGCACACATCAGTTGATCAACATTCTTCTCTTCATCAGAACACTTGCATACAGAATTTTCAGAATGGTTTAATGAAGTAATAAGGGGTAATGGGGGGCTTGGTACAGAATTGGTACAACTAAATGCTGTCATTTACCTGTGTAACCATCATATAAACCTCATCACTCAACAGACTGAAAAATCTAGACTTCAAAGAAATATAAAGGAAAATATGTAGCGAATGTCTGAGCTGCAGAGCTTTTCTTATGAGTGCTTAAACACAAATAAGTGAAGGATCTGAGCCTTGCAGTGACAGAATATTATGTCCAAAAGTGATGCGTTTCAATACTTGAAAAAAAGATTCTTTGGTTTCACCTGGCTATCAGTGTTACTTTAGTGTCTGCTTCATATTACATTAGGTCTGCTCTTTCCTTGGCATGGATGATCAGGCAGTATTTATACAACTTAAAGTACTCTAAAAAAAGAAGAAAAAAAATCTAGCAGTGGTACACAAATAAATAACGTTATGATTGCAAGAAATCCAAAAACGGAAGACACCCAGACTCATGTGGGATTTGTGCAACTAGAGCAAACACACAGTAAAATCAAGTGTGTACAATTAAAGCACAGTCACAAAGGAAATCAAATAATAGTCTTCCCTATCATTGCTGTGTAAGTATTAGACTTGGAAAGACATTTTCCATTTGCTTACACATTAGAGGAATATTTACTAATATAGTCTAAAACCAGAAACTGATTATATGTTAGTCACAGCTGCAGCAAGCATACCATAAAATAAAATTGGCACGCCGATGACTGAGCCAGGAGAAAGGTGGTTGACTGCCATACATGTTGGGAAGACTTAAGGTATTCAGCTAGACTGGACTTCAGCCTACAGCAGGTCATCAAACAGTCATTTTAAGACAACCATAACTGTAGATTACCGTAACCATAACTGTAGATTACTGTTTTAGATTTAGACAAATAGGTCCCTAGCCTGAAATATTTATTTGGGCAATATTTTCCATGAATCAGTGTGACTCAGAGTACCAAATCTGAACTTTTATGACACAACTTTATAATGCAGTACAAGAGTTACAGTCTGTAGAGAATCAGACACTTCTGACTTCAATGGCAACACTCCCATGCAGTCACTATAGATACGTCTGCGCTCTGTGGATGTATGTGGGACTGTACTACTCCTGTGGAACTGTAGCACAGAAGAGCTGCTAGAAGCTCTGCTTGGCCAGCTGTAATTCAGTTTTGATGCCATTGTATACCAGGAAAGGTACACTGTTTTGAAATCTATGGGACAGAGAACCAGTTCTCCTCTTATCCATGAGTGGAAATCCACAATGGTGTCAGCAGAGCAGAAGTCCATAGATTCTGTCCAAACCTTTCAACTTGAGTGAGAATTAAAAATTGTAGACTACAAAACAAACATGAGCGTGACAGAAAGCCCAAAAGTCATGCTCAGCTGTCATCAATCCAGCAAGGCACTTAAATATATGTTTAGTTTTAAGCATGGAATCAATCCTCACGAAGTTAAGCTTTGCTGGATAAGGGCTATGTCTTTCTGCATCATATTACTCTTCAGTGTTAGTAGGCTGGCAATTTTCAAATCGCATCCACAAGCTTTCTTTTCACTCTTGAACTGAATGTTAGCTTAGACAACATTGTGACATACATTCCAAACTCAGACAGCTAACTATTGCAACAGTTAGTAAAGCAAAATGGCTACAAAATTTTCCAAACCCAATCTGAACACATGCAATATAGAATTGTAGAAACTTCAGAGAGCCGAGTGCAAATCATTCCTTTTCATCATTGGAAAATGGCAAAATTTGAAGTAGTTTCCTGACACAAGCAAATTATTTTCTGTACACATGAAAGGCACTATTCCGCTAGTACTCAGCAATATTCTCCTGAATTACTGACACATTCTGAAGTGGGTATCTGACAGACAGCAATTTGTCAGTTAGATCTTTCTCAGTCCATTCAATTTATTTGCATGGCTTGCCTATAATTACCATCTTTCTTTATTTTAGCTTATTAGTAATGACTATATGGGGACTCTAACTACTTCATATGATCATGTGTCATCAAGGCCCTGATACAGCATCTAATAATTCTTTGGCAAACAATATATCCCTGGTCACATGGTTGTGTCAGAGGAGAATCCTACTAAAGTTATTTATAATGATAAGCATGGCACGATACCTGTCTTGTAAAAGAAGATGTGTATGAGACTCGGAAAATGCAGCACTGCAATTCAATATAAATCGTCCTGAAATGTGGTCCACATTTTAGGAAGAGCTATACAATGACAGGACCTGCTATGCAATTTAAGGTCAGCATTAGTCATCCAAGACTGCCTCTTCCTACAGCAGAACACTGTTTTTTGGAGCAGGTGATATTAAATTTAGGAAAAATAATTTCTAAAAATGTCTCAAGGATTCATGGCATTAGCAAACACAATTTCATGCATTTTTGAGCTGGGGATCAGCTGTGATGGAAGAAATTGGTGCCCCTAGTCTTTTAAAGTTACCTGGCTCAGATATATGAAGATACAGTACAATCTGCTAGATCTGGCACTGTAAACATCGATGCCCTCATCAATGTCAACTCAGTTGATCACTAGGCAGGCATTCCGAACTAGATTTTGGAACTACTATTAAGTAGTGTAAATACATCTGAGTTGCCCAAACTGTGCACGGAAGAGCAAACGTTTGCTTGTAGGCAATTAGTTCTGTAAGCCCAGCCTCTATCTCTGCTCCTTTCAGGTTCAAATATAAGCCATCATATCAGCAGCATACCGTCATTCTGAAAAATAGCAGAGAAGACAGTAAGAATAGAGATGGATGCTCCTACAGCAGTGCACTTTCACAACTCTTCTGCAACAGAAGACTCAAGAATGAAAATGAATCTCTTCAGCTTTGCTGCTATACTACAGCAGAAATGTCTTGAACGCCAGGAAATAAGGTCATCTACATGCTTGAGGACAAACGTGTTTACTGTCATTCTTGGCTATTCAATAAAGCATTTTAATAATGCTGTACTTATTTCCATCTTAAGATTTGTGTAGTTTAACTGCACAACTACCTAATTAAGGTGAAAAACCCTAACTGGGTACTAATACTGACATTGATTACAAAGTGTAAAGCAAGTAACAAATATATCGCTCCTTTTCCTGTAGGATTTTATTAGAAGGATCCAATTCCTAAAAAAGCTCAACAGCAGAATTCATTCTTTAATTTGTATCAAAATAGATTTTAAATAGCCTTAATTGTAAACACATTTCCTAGTGTAAACAGTGTCCTACATGTGAGCTGGTTGAACTCAATTATTTAATCAGGTATACTGAGACAAGGAACTTTTTAATTTAGTTCTTATTCACTAAGTTTCTTTAGTATGTTCTCAGTGACACAGTAATGGGAAGTTTTATATATAGTCTTAAGTGCAAAATATTAATATATTTAAAAATGTATCAACTTTTAGTTGATAGATTTGTTTTGGTTTATAAACATTAAAAAATTAAAAAAATCTATGTATAAAGTTAACTGTGCTTCTTTAGAAGATCTTTCACTCATATACAGCTTCAAAGTTTAGTAGCAATGCAAAATATGCACACCGTCTTGGTGATTTGCAGTCTTATGACTACTGAAACGTGGAATGTTACCTATTGTTTTTAATAGTCTGGGCCAGATCCTGCTGTCATTTACATCAGCTATTCCTTATATCGGGTTTATGCTAGTGGACAGGATACCAAAATCTGGCTTCTACTGGGGCTTGAAAAGAAGTACACCATATTTCAAATTTGTATACAATCAAATCAAGGATCATGGTCTCCTGATAGACTCTTTTATCTGTCTATATCTTATCTGCAATACTGAGTGTCAGACACCCATCTTCATTAAGCTTCTGGAAATATATAAAGAATGGAGAATGCATCAGATTCTTGACTAATGAAGTAAGCTTACTTCCCTCAATAATCAAATTAAATTAAATCATAACCAAGGTGGATTTTATTGTCAGACAATCTGGTTTATGTCTGGATTCTATTCTCAACTGACAGCAATAATTGATAGTTACTCAGCACCCAGTTGATTTTATTTGCTTAGTTTCTTCTAAACTTACAAATGAGCTTACGAGGGCTGACGCAAAATGTCTGTCATGGTGTAATATTCCACCAATTTTTGTTTATATTTACATATACAGCATTACTCATTAATGATAAAACAGATTTTTCAAGTATGAAGTTCTGCATGTAATTCTCTTTTTCACTATGCAGACAGTCAAACTTATAGTGTGCATCATCAGAAGTGATACAACATACAACCATTTCCTCTTCTTTCTCTGCCACACTGTTCATCTTCTTTGAAAAGAATGATAAATATTCAACACTGCCATCAAAAACTGTCACTGCAGTTTCTCTATAAGCAGAGCACTTGAAGGGGGAAATGATGTCCTCAACAGTGCATGCCTGATATGTACCTTGGACTTTCTGGTCCTATAGTTGAGATATTTTGACAAAGCCGAGAAAAGTTCTGAACTTGCCTCCTTTCCTTCCATGGAAAGTAAATGTCAAAAGCAGAAGAACTATAAAGATTTTTCTCCAGCTTTCTTGTTAGCCTTGTTGGTAGTGTTTGATTGTCTGCAAAAGGAGAATGAACACAACAACAGAAAGTCCCATAAGTGGGGACATTTGAGAGTACCGCATAAAGTCCACACCTCTTCATGACTGAGCAGCAATATCCAAGGAGGAGTTAAATGCTTTGGTTGCCTTGAGCTAGCATGTTACAAGAAAGGTATGCTTTCCTTCCACATAGGTAAAAGTGCTTGGTAGCTGATGAAGCAGGAATGACACTCAAATTACTGATGGAAGGAAGGTAGAAACGTGAAATGTCTCCTGTCATTTACAGCACAGGTAATCAGAAGCGCAGTCTCTCTCCTTAACAGTTGCTTAAAGTCCTTCTCGGCACATAGGGAGGTTGACAAAGGTGAAGACATTAAACTCTATCAATACAGAGAAACACAGGAAAACAGCATAAAGAAACAACACGTAGATGCCTAATTTCTTGTCAAGTTTCCACTTATTTACATGGATCCCAAACACCTGCAAGCAAACAAAGTGTTAGTTAATTAAGCCTCAAAGGAGACTTCTAGAAACAATTATAAGCTGAAAATGACAATGATCTCTTCAATTAGAGATCCTGGACCAAGATAAAAATATATATTGTTGGCATTTTACAGATTTTAAAAAGGCAAAATATTTCTTTTTTTAAATAAGAGTGTAAGAACCCAATCCAATAACTCAAACTCTGGCCTTACTCTCACTTGCCTGAAGAACCCTTTACAAAACATTAAATGGACCCACGTCAAGACCACTTGAGAAGTTCATCATGTAACAGAGAAACAAAACAGGCCCCTGGGTGCTCTGTTTCAGGGCATACTGCATTTTCAGTACATCAGGCACATTCTAGTTAGGCAGCATTAATTCCCTGCTTCATTATGAACTAGGGAATACACTGAATATGCTTCTCCCTCCAACGCTCCGTTATACACCCTTTACATCCCAGTTAAACACAAGCACCTAACGTTCACTCTTTCAACAGCTCTAGAAGAGTTTCTTTGACATTTTACTCAGCTCCTGAACTAGGAAGAATTACAAGCAGTAAAGCAATTAAATTCACATGAAGGCTCCTATTTTCAATGGTGCTATGAGTTTCTGCACTGATTTTTGCTATGGGAAGATCTGGGGGAATTAGGGTATCCAGTAGAAAAAATCAAGACAGTAGATGGTTTGAACTCAGATGATATTGCTGCAAAGATTCTTTTCAGAAATCCCTGAGTTTCTAGCATAGTAACATCTGCATAATCCTCCCATGTATTCAGAAGTGCTGGTTACCAATACTCATGCAGCAGTATCACATACAAGTGTCTAAAGAACTTTGTTGCTCCACAGGCACTGTGCAGCATGGCACAATTGGAGATAGGAAAAGTAAAGAACAGGCTCCCACAGCTTATATTAGCAGATGCACTAGGAAGTTAGTGGCAAAGTGAACAGATCTGGACATTCTATCATTTAAGACATGCACAGGTGATGTGAAGTTTGCTAAAATCTAGCCGTGCAAGAGTGTAGCATCTCCAGTGATGATCCCCTCCTTTAAAAGGGTGTCCGCAGGCAGTGAAAGATGTAAGTGGGTATTTTTATACCTTTGGGATTTGATTCTTTCCACAGATGGCTCTCTGGGAGTCAGCAGGATCACAGTACCCTAAGTACCAGCAAAACTGACTTTTGAAGCAGAACTACTGTTTCACCTTAACAAGTCAGTATTATAAAGGTGAGTTGTACTTTACATGCCTATTCAACATCCTGAGGTTCACAGCCCTCACAGACTAGTCATCGTTAAGGTTTTGGCTACAGTGCATTGTTAGTCTAGGCTGGTTTGAAAATCAGAGATGGGAGGATGAAAAAAAGGGAGGAAGCACACCTGGGTCTTCCCCAGCACAGAGTACAGACAGACCTAGGGTATGCAGCTGGACACAGGACCAGAGGAATACTGAAATCAAAGGGATCTATACACTTCTAGCAACTCTTCTGCACCAAATGTCAGATTTCAGTCCTGCCACTGGAAGACAATGGCAGTTATTCTAACTCATGGCATTACTATAAGAATAGTACTTTAAAAGAATCAATACTTTGGGGATGATGAGTACTTCCAGTTTTTCCTTGTAGAGTACGTGAAGTAAATACCTGATAATTATTTTGCAATCAGAACAGTCTGAAGAGTCACATTCAGAAATACACTAATACTTACTGTCAGTGCCACTGATCCTAGTAAAAGTGCAACTGAATAGACCAGTCCTTTACTGTTTATCTTAACCTGTGTGAATTAAACAGAGAATAATTCTTTAAATCACCCAGAATATGAAAACTTTGTTTTAGAGATCAGAAATAAATTTACTGATTCATGGTAGTCCACCTTCTGCCTTGAACTGTGACTGACTGACTTCTTCTAAACTATGCAAATCTACAACAGATTTAAAATGGAGAATGGGAATGTTAAGGATTTAAAGCAAATGTGTAAGGAATCCCAACTCTAAAGAAAGAAAATAGCACGTATAATGGATTTCAAGTTAAAAGATTCTCATGAGAGAAAGAGATGTTACTTTCTAGTAGTTTCTAGATGTTGTTATTGTTATCTTACAAAAATACTAAGGTACAGGGAGACAGATATGCTTGAAGTTGTGCAGTGAGAAAATGACAGTGCCATGAAAGATATATATGGCCTTATTATCTGATACAGATTGTAATGTCCTCCATTTGACAATGCAATTGGGAATTAATTGCAGTTTGTGGAAGGAGCATTGCTCCTGTAACTCCTGGCAAAAAAAAAAAACAAACACAACACCTTATTTAATAACCAATAAAATGCTAGCACTTGCTTTGTTAAATCAGTTTTTATTTGCATGCTTTCTTTTTAGGATATGATGGTGATTTTTTTGTTTGTTTTGTTTTAAATAGAGAAAAGGAAAACATTAGAAATACGCTCAGTATACATACAGTTGATCCATAATCAATTGCCATGGTCTGCAAACCCCACGGAACACCAAGGCCCACCAGAATGTCAAATACATTACTTCCTATTGTGTTGGATACTGCCATGTCACCAAGGCCTGCAAAGAAAAAGCAAATTTCAGGTGAAGAAAAGAACAGAATGAGTACTCTGTATCCAGAGGAAATTAAAGAGGACTGACTGGCATTGATCCAAGTCCTCCTGGACTGGCTAGAGCATCTGAGGCAAGGAGACAATTTTCATAATTGGAAATTGTATTTAACATTGGCTGACATCTCATTCTGCACCACTTCTAAGGAAGGCAGAATCCTCTTCCTCTGCTACTTCTCTTTAAGGACCAGCCTTACTACTGAGACACTTCTACAAAATGCATACCAAGAAAGAAGAGGAACTCTCATGTATGGGACAAACCCTGCAAATAGTCAGAGCACACAGAGCAGAGACAGACACTCCCAGATCACAAATACAGTCTCTATTTAAAGGGAAAAAGAAATATTTCAATCCACTTCTATGGCAGTACCCCTCTCTACTCTTTAGATATTTGTCTGCAATCTGCCTTGTAGCCATTTTTCTTGATTCCAAGTACTGCAAAAATGTGTCCTTCAATGAGACCACATGCTTTTCCACAAGCTACCACTTAGCTTCACTTTCAGAGGAAACAATCCTTAGAGGAGTTTTGCCAAACATTAAGGAAGAATTAATCTAAAGCAGCCGTCTGTTCATTTAAAAACATGTTTTCCTTCTGTTCCTTCAAAAATCTGTTTTCTTGGTACTACATATGGAAAGCTAATCTAGTCAGAAGGCAGTTCCATGAGAATCTTGAATACTTCTGTGAGACTCAATGCTTTTATGAGATTTTTCCTGCACACAACAGATAATATAAGCTGGAGAATGAAGTATCTTAATTCTTAATTCTTTTTAATCAAGCAACGTTTAAGAGCACTACTTCTATCTCAAAGGTGGTACATTTGGGTGCTTAACATCATTTCAGAACCCCTGCTGTTTGCCCAATTATGTGTTCTGGAGATCTCATTATCTGGAGAAGAAAAAAAGAAATCAACAAAACACTGCAGGGATTGGAGTAGTGAAAAAGAGTAAAATCAGGACAGGTTCTTATTCTACTGCAGTAGAGGAGATCATACTTTCAGGTTAATGTTTTTCAACAACAGGAAGGCATGTGGCTACAGACATTTCTCAAAAAAGGAAATGTAAAAAACTTTCTCAGAATGTTAAAGATACGTGAAAAAAAATTAAAATTTCAACTGAAAACTCAATGATGACATAGCCAATATTAATCTAAAACCTCTTCCAGTGCTACTTTTCATACATTCCAAAGGGAAGGAGATTTGCCTATTGATGAGAAGTATGCTTGGAGCAACAAAGTTTTTGCTAGATCATCTTAGACTACTTCACTTCCCTGGGTTCAATAAATCTTCTAGAAATCAATACAAGTTCTATATGGAACAGTGCTGATTAGCATAGATTTCTCAATAAAATTTTGTAATAGCTGATATTTCAGTTTTGTCTACTACTTCTATCTTTTTATTCAGACTGACACATAGCATGTGTGAGATATCTAACTATCAAATGCCCATCTGGAATGCTAGGCTGTGCCCAGTTCCAGTGAGTAAAAGGTAACAGGACAGGGAAGATGTTTTGGCACACAGTACTTAGCAAAGTGTTCTGTTTTTTCATCTGGGCTCTGAAACAGTACAAATAAAAATAATTAAAAATAACAAAATTGCACTGAACGTTTGTGTGCATTGAAGAAGCAAATCGTAGAGCATGCATGTAGGACCACAGGTATCCTTCTGCAGATACAGTACCTTGTCTTGCAACTATTAAGCTGGCCATGCAGTCTGGGACGCTTGTTCCTGCAGCTAGGAAAGTAATGCCCATGATCACATCTGGAATCCCAAGGGTGTATCCAATCACAGTCACCTGAACGGTAAGGAAAGGAGATAAACCTGTCAGATTTGGAAAGTCTCCTCAATCCAATACCACTGTAGCATACTCTGATCTCTGGTGTAGATCCTCGAAGAATTAGACTCAAGATCCATATCTGCAAATGAAGTAATGTGGAATAACTAGCCTAAAATCAACCTTGTGAAAAAAAAAAAGTACCTTGGACATAGACTTCAACATTTCTGAGCAAACAGTAAACTCCACTTTCTGTACTTCTAAGAGGACGTACTGATCTTTTAAAGAGAAGCACAGACATGGACTCAATCTGTGGTTTTGTTTTTACTTTATATCCAATAATAGTAAGATTGTTATTGCTTCTTTTTGAAAAAGGATTGGAATCAATTTATAACACGATGCAGTGTCAGAGACATAAGGAAATTATTATATTCCAGCACATGAAGAAGGAAACTCCTTTTCAAGTTTTTCAAATAACTCCTGGTATAATCCCAAAGTGAGCAGCTCTGACTATATTTTCTCCTGAGAGGCCAGATGCAGCTTTACAACTATTAAGGGAAGGGCTGTAGCTTGTAGCAGAACTCTTGGAAAGGACAGGGAACGTTATTTAACTGGAACATCCAAAAAAGACTGAAAAAAGGTGAAGAGAAAAAAAAACACCAACGGGCAACTGAGCATGCAAAAGAAACAGCCCTGTGAGAGTGAGAAGACCAAAGCAGGAAGACAGCTCCTTCCTTGCAGAGAATACCAAGGGTGAGAGTCTTCAAGTTTCTATGCTGTCTTCTTGAAATAGCTTGTCAGCCTCATGCATGAGGAAGACTGGACCCTTTGCCAAGGAAAAGGTGTACTTTAGAAACCCACTCACAAACCTTCGTATTCTCAAAGGCAAGTTGTAGCTCAGAAACAGAAGGAGGCATGATTCTCCTGTTGTAAATGGTAATACTATAAGGTCTGGCAGCATCTTAAAAAAAGAGGTGTTGCAGCCTTGGAGAGCATGTCTTGTCTGTGAAGGGACATCTACAAATGGAACCAAGGTGCAGAGCATGGTCTGACAAAGGACATATGGTATGAAATGAATGTGTAGTTTTGGCACTGTTATACCAGGCAGAATGAGTGGCTGGCATATGGATCTCTCAACCTTCAGAGACAGGAATTACTTTATAGTGCAAAACATTATGTATCAAGTGTGTATTAAAAACAGAAGGAAGCATAAATATAAAGCAAATGTCTGACACATTTGGAGAAGGTATGAATGTTCTCCACCCAAAAAATATTTTACAAATAAGTTCAATAACAAAAAGTCTTCCATATATACAACTATAAGAGTATACATATGGCTATGACTGTGTATGTAGCATATACAGCTATATGTTCTCCAGAACAAAACAAGATGACTGCTTCTTCACTGTATTTTCCTTTAAAAAGAAAACTGATCACAGAATTCTTCGGCAGCACATCCTACTTATCTTCTAGCTACAGGTATAAACAGCTGTGTGGGTTTGCATCTTTTAGTGCAGAAAAAGGTAACCTTCTGTATTTTAAAAGTATAGTTCCCACCACAGAAACTAGACGAGGAGCTCTTCTATTCACTTAATGTCACTTTAAATTCACTTAACTCTGACTGAAAATGTGAACTTGATAACCTGAAAGAGGGTAAAAAGAAAACATAAACCTATTTAATACTTCCAGTAAATGCGCTCCTAAATTGATCACAATTTACAGATCTACACCTGATACACTGCTTCTCAAAAAAAGGGTAAATGGAAACATGTAAGAAAGTATGATATGAAGTGTAACAGTCTTTCTCTAAGACTTTCTTGAATTATTCGACTCTACTTGAGGAGGTTTATAGCACTTCAAATTTTGCCATCCATCTGCCTCTTATACATGTTTGTTTCAGCATCAGACCATATCACCCAATTTCTAAAGGTATCTAAGAATAGCTGTTAAGAACTGAATACTTTCATTTAAATTCCCTTTCTTTAGTAGGATGTGAATGACAACATTATTTGAAAATCAACTTGTATTGGGCACTATACAGTAAAGGACCAATAATTTGTGCAGAAAAGAGTAGCAGAAAGATATAATTTTAATAATTAAGAGTATAAACTGAAAAGACAACACTATGATTACATGTCTTTAACAAATACACAAAAGATCTATGATCTATTTTGAGATTCAAATTTTACTCTCTATGGCGGATTTTGCTACATGGACTTACCATCCACACCATAAAGTAGGAGAACAAGGCAATCCAGAGAGTGGATAAGATGAATGTGAACATAAACCAGCTCTCCCAGCGGGGTTTGCTGCAGTTTGGAATGGTGCAAAAGAGCACGAATATCAATGGCCATGTCAAGATCCATTTAATTTTATTCATTTTTCCTTCTGCAGGACAAAAACAAAGGAAAAAACTAGTTTAATTTTTTTCATTAGTATCACAGGCCCAGACCTCTTTGAACACAGCAGATGACAAGGTCTCAGAAGGCTGGTTACAACTGTGCACGTCAGCTCATTTTCCAGCATACCTTTTATCTATGCTTGCTCTCTGTTTGCACTCTCAAGCAAATTCTGCCCTTGCATGCACATCCAGAATCTTAATGCTAAGCCTGCCAAAGTGTACGTAAATCCAAGTAGGATTTACAAGGATTTAAAAGTGTGGCTGCTTTTTAACCAAAATGAATGTTCCGATCTATTGCACTTTCAAATACCTGCATTACTATTAATCCAGAAGCAAAATTAAACAAACAAACAACAAAACAATATTTTAAAAACAAGATGGAAAACCTTGTAGTTCAAATAACCTGTGGTTTACGTGCAGCAACAGAAAATACATGCAGACCCAACCTGTGAACATGATAAACTGCTTTCACATATCCAAATGTGGACACTTGGGCAGAACTTCAACCTAGGCCTTACGAGATGCAGATTTGTTAACTCTCTCCAGTTGCACATAATTCCACCCTGGGTTAGTCTCCTTATCCTCTGTAAAACAATGACTTGTACAGCTCACTGAAATCAACAAGTGAGCAATACCAGACCACTGTCACTGCTGATGAATGCAAGAAGAGATTTTCTAATTTTTCAACAGAAGTGAAGTTGTTTAAGAAAAATCCTAAAGGGTAGGTAATAATCAGGGAAAACACCCATCAGTTTCACAGAAATTTTCTTTCTTCAACAACGCTGTAAGTTAGGACTTGTTCAATGCAAGTTTTTTTGTCAGTGAATTCAACTCTACCAACGTGTACCAGACACAAATATATCAAACATTAAACCTTTGAAAATTAATAACACTTTTGCAATTTATGAGATTTCTTAATAGTTGTCCAAATGCAAGTCCTCATTCATTTACCTACATACATATCCTATTGCTAAGTTAGAGATCAGCTCCTTAAGATTTCCTTGTGGATTCTAAGATGCCATTAACCATTGACTGTTTGGCTATTTATTCCCTTTTAGCCTGTGGCCATGGAACTTCTAATGCAAAAAAGGTACTAAAGTCTCCTCATCCAACCCTACTTCTACATTTTTACCATGACTCTGTGAATGTAACACAGATTTTACAGGTAAGACTTTTTACACCCTAGTTTCATGTACCATTACACAAGTTTTAACAACACTAATTTTTCTGTTCTGTCCAGAAAAAGAAATGACACTTTTTAGCTCATGACTCACTAACTTTCTTAATGAGGCTGTAAATATCCTATGGCATTTTATACCTCCTCCTGTTCAATTTGTTTTGGTTTGGATCATTAGAAGATTCCTGCTGGTTAATTTGTGCTCTGTATACCCATGCTGCTAAGCCTAGGTCATAATCAAACAAGTCAGTATGGCCCAGGCGGATAATTTCCTCAGTAAAAATTCCAAATGCAGGGTGTGTGGGTGACTGTTTGACAGCAAAAAATTACGGATCCGATTCTGTTCTGATGTTGGCTAAATCTGAGCGACTTCATTGGTGCTACACATAGGGGATTCAGGCTCATGTGTCTTTCAAATAACATGAAAAAAAAACAAAATTGCCTGTGGAACAAACAGGGGATAAACAGATGCTCTCAGCCTCTGTTGGAGAATATGTGTCTTGTCACAGATCCTACCTATAATGTACTGAATTATTTAAACAAATGCTTAACTGTGAGAATGGCAGGGCCTTACCGCTGGCATTGCTATGCTTGCTCAGGTCCAGGAAAACAGAAATGTTGGCGGAGAACTACCTGTCTTCCTTGTATCTTACTAGCGATGCTCTATCCACAAAAAAGCTTAGGATAAACTGCATTGTAGAGCCACACAGTTCATGAGGTGATGTTTGTATTCATCACATATCAAGCAGGCTTGAGATTTTAGGGACTAGAAACAGCAATTTTAGGTTTTGCTGGGTTTTGTTGGCCACTTGCAGTTAAGAATAATTCTGAACTTTTATACTGGCTTTTATACTGGCTGCTCTTTTATAAACTTTATATAAAGCCTTAAATGTACCTAGCCTTAGTTCTCCAGCTCTTACTACATTGGGTCTTGGTGTGGCACTCAGTGCTAAAGAAGTCTTATGCTTTTAAGCTGTAACTTGGTGGTTTAGCAAGAATACAGTGCATTTAGCAGCAACTTCAGTAAAGTGCAACCTCCTTTCCTTTGGATCCTGATGCTTTCATTCACATCACCTGGCTAAACTGAATACAAAAACATCCAGGTTGAAAAGTTAAGTTCTTTTAAAACTACTTACTGTGCTGCTCTTTCTTTTTTTTTTTTGGTTTGTTTGTTTGTTTTTTGTTGGGTTTTTTTTTTTTTTTGACTGCTCACTCTAGAATAACTAAACATGTCAAATTGTTTTATGATTATTGTTTAGCTTCCTAGTATATCTGCAAGGAAGAAAAATTTTCATCCTCATTAAGCCTATTATTCAATACATAGCTGTTCTGTAAAAGTACACCAACAGCTCTATTACAGGATGTTAGCTCAGTTGTTTTACAAGCAGTACCAGCTACTCCTACTTCCAGCTAACGAGAGAATACTGCTTTATTATAGAAGGCAACATCGTTATAGAAGAGCCTATTTACAATGTTTCTAAAAATGCATTAAGAGAGAGCCCTACAGCAAAGAGTCCTTCATTAAATCTCAGCATATTTCTGGGCTTATCATCTTTCCAGATGTTCTCAGCATTGATCACAAGAACTATTTTCATATACATATTGAGTACTGTTGAAAGAAGTCAAAAACACACCTTGCAGCATGGATAGGAAAGGAATATTTTCCTTAAGGCACAATGGAAAGTGACTTTCTGTAGAAAAAACACTATCCTATTTAGAACATTCAAATAGAGTAGAGATGCACTTTGCACAAAAGCATGAAATTACACTTGTGTTTGCATTCAGATCAGGTTTTCAGATCTTAAACAAATCTCCCAACACTTCCCATTTACTGTCTTTTGGTTTGCAAGGCAGAGCAGCCCTGGGTCACACCAATGAAATTCCACTGACATATAACTAGAGGTACACACCTAAATAATGATGAGCAGTTTAGTCCACGGGACCACACTACAGCTAGCCTCAAAGATAACTTCCAAATGCTTATAGTGTAGATAACCTCAGTCAATAAGCCGCATGAAAAACGTTCACTGAGTTTAGACAGACTCCAACTTGGTCTTCCCTTTAAAAGAACAGGAATCTAGCACAGACCACAGCTTCACACATTGACTACTGCAGAACATGTCTTCAGAAAACTGGAATGTCTACAGCTTTCAAAGGGAAAAAAGTATCTTCTAAAGGCAATTTAGTAGTTGTATGATCTAAAAGAAAAGTTACAACATCCCTGAAAAACATGAATCTAATTGGCATACAGGAATTTCATGGTTATATTGATATGAATCCCTTCACATTTATAACTGAAGGTAACTTGAAAGATAGGAAAGGTTTTCTCTAAGTTTACCTGTAAAACAAGGAAGGTTTTCTGGAGTTTCCTTCTATTTTTCTGTTTCTTTCTTTCTTTGTTTTAATTATTTTGACACCAGTAAATTTACAACAAAAATAAAGCATTTAATGGCCAGTCCAGGACATGTATGCTGTACTTCATAATTTTTTAATTACTTTTTTTTTCTTTTTTTAATCTTTGTACATCTCTCTACCATTTACCATTAATAAAAAATGAACAAACATGTTTTTCCCCCAGTGAAAAGTGATTTTCGAATCACCTGTCTCCTGGGTCCTAATTAGGCTTTATACTAGAGATAATATTTACACTCACATATCATTAGCAACATTAATTCAAATCTTGACCTGAAATTGTGTTATAAGTAGCATACACACCTCCACATGGGATCTTGACAATAATTCAGACAGTGAGTATATTACTGCTAGAAAGTTCTGTGATTTATCAGAATTTCGACTGACTGGAAAAATTTAATATACGTAAATTAGTCAATGTGAGAGCTTAATTAATTCCTGAGCATTTCCAAAATACATCAGAGGAACATCAGTTTTTGCCCAAGTATGGGACTAGCACTGAAGCAACGAGAAGAGATGTAACAAACATTGTGAATTTTCCATCAGAATTATTTTCCACTGAAAAATGCCTCTGTTGTGAAATTAAAAATCCTAAGTAAATCTAAGTAAATGCTTTTAAATTTGCCATTAGGAAAATTAACACAGAAACCACCCCTCAGATCTCTTGGAAACTGCTGATTGATTTCAGTTCTCCAAGTTTCTCTAGGAACTGTGGAAGCAAGAGACTCCATTAATGCACTACTGCCAGCCTATGCAGCAGATAGAAAGGGATCCAAGAAGGCCTAGCCTTTGTCAGCCTTCCAACTGGGCAGCTGATATGTTAAAACACTGCTATTTCAATTCTTCTGCAACAGTGCTTTGGAAACAATTTTTTTTCCTCTGAAAAATACTGAGGTTTTACTTCTCACCCTCATTCAAAACAGACTGTTTTCCATTAAGGCTTCTCTCAGAAGTTTCATTTTCCAGAATGCAAGTTCCAAATTCCAGGACATAAGATCTGTCCCAAATAACCCACATATCTATTCTCAGTCTGTACCTTTGCCACTCCTTGCATGTTCAGATGTATTCCAATACTTTTCTCTTAAAGACACATCTTTGGTGTACTGGGAACTGGTACACCTGAAAAATGACTTTGCACCATTTGCAGAACCAAGCTTTACTCTCAGTTACTATAGGTTTACATAGGACAATATTCAACAAAAATTAAAAGTAACTGAGCAGGGTGATCACTATATATTGTTTGACTTAGTTGGATTTTGGCATAATTTAGTTTTATGTTTTTACTGTGCCAACTACTTTATCAATGTTTTTAAAGGGAGAAGTGGGATTCACAGAATTGTTCTTTTCCCTTTCAAAATGATGAGCAAACGTAATTACTTTAGTTACTAAATTAAACATGCACCTATTATTCTGCCAATTTCTCCTGTATTTCTTCCTACATAGAACACATTAGCTGCTCTCTTGGAACACTTTTTCTAGTTTAGTTTTCTACAAAAGGAATCTGCTTCATGAGCTCCAAGAATACAGTTCAAATCAAAAGGCAATATATGTGAAACCAGTGAGATCTGCCTCAAAAGAACTCGTGCAATAAAATTCTATGGTAGATGTGCTATTACACAGACATTATGTAAGAGGAAACTCTCCCAAAAATGCATTTTAGAATACAGCAGTTAAGTCCTGGTCTGAAATATCTTCTTGGAAGAACTTCTCTCATTCCTTAAGTTGAAAATAGCAAAAGACCATCAGGGTAGTAGGACCTAAATTTGTCTCATTCTTCCCCGGATTTCTTCATACAGTCATGGTTGGATTTAGAATATTGGGGTAGATGAACATTTGCTTTGACTGAGTACAAATACTTTCTACAATTTTAGTAGACATAGCTAATTCATTTTTGATTCTGTTCAATATGTTGTGTTCATACTTTGGATCCATACAAAAATGAACAGGATTGGTAATCTACTTTACTACTATTTTATTTTAGCTTCAGGAATTAATATTCCTGTTCTAGCTAACACCATAATGACTTATGTAAAGCATCATTGGTCCAATCCTGTAAGAGATGGAATTCTTCACTTCTGTGAAATCAGTAAGAGCTGAGAATACTTTGTGTTTTAAAGGATCTTGAACATGTGACAATGAATGAGATTTAAGCATCCATTAAGAGCTGCACAGAAGTGCTTTTCTGAGTCCGGGCTCTAAAACATTACTGAGCTATTCATGGGCTTTTACACATCATTTTGTTGTTAATATATGCCTGCTCAATTTCATCCTGCTTTATTCTAATCCTTTTTTACCCCCCCTAAAGTCTAAGACCTGTTTCCAAACAAGTGTACAGTAACAGAACAGTACAACATCAAATCAGCCTTTGTCTCAAAGGATAACTAATGGTTATATCAATAAAGGAATTCCCCTTCCAAAGAGAACATTTATACCCGCAGAGAAACAAGAGACAAAGGCTGTTTTGCATGATGACATGTACTTTCCATAAAAACTACGTACTGTATCCTTTTCCAAGACAGGCCTGAACCACACCCCGAGGCTGAATATCTTGGAATGTCTGACATATGGAATCTAGGCTAGAGATGAGATACAACTATTTTCATGCAAAAATGTTTTCCTCTATTTCTGCGTGCTAAAGCCCTCCTTTTATTACTAAGCATCACTAAGGGGATAAAGGAGAACAATAAGTAAATCTTACAGGTGGCAAATGATACCTGGCATTACTTAAAGATGATGCATTTACACTTTTTTTGTTTTTTAATTTCAGAAAAAAAGCGTTCTTGCAAAAGAATGCAGAACATACAATTTGAGGGAGGGAAGCCAAACTCCAAAATAGGCTAAAATAGATGACTGAAGAAAACAGAAAATAAAGGGTTGGGACACTTTATAGCCACTTCGCAGTTGCAGTTCTTTAAAAAACGGGAGTGAGTTTTCTACTTATCACACCGCAAGCAGTTGACTTGGAAAGTCCATTCAGTGCTTATTCTTTGTAGAGCTCTTTATGGTAGTTAAAGAATAGCTTGAAAATACATAAAAAGAAAAATAGAGGGGATTTTGGGAAATTGTCTGCAAAACTACCTTTTCCCTGAAGGCAGTTTCAAATGACAGGATTTTTTTTAGGCTACTGATTGTGTCACAGCACTTAAACAACAAAGAATGATACTGTTTATATTTTCCCTAAAGTTATTTGAAATGTACTTTTGAAAGTAAAAATATAAGAATTTTCCCTCAGAATATAATCACAGAATCATAGAATTTCCCTTCTGGGAAGTGAACCATGAGAATCACTGAGTCCCACCGCTGGCTCCGCACGCTATCACTCAAAACCCAAATTATATTTCCGAGACTGCTGTCCAAACACTCCTTGAACTCTGGCAGCTCGGGGCTGCGCCCACTGCCCTGAGGAACCTGTTGCACGCCCACCACTCTCTGGTGCAGAACCTTCTCCTATCACCCAACCTGGCCCTCCCCTGGCACAGCTCCATGCCATTCCCTCAGGTCCTGTCACCGTCACACAGAGCAGAGCTCAGCACTGCCCCTCTGCTTCCCATGAGGAGCCTCAGTTGCCATGACGCCTCCGCTCAGCCTGCACTGGCCCTATGGCTGCCAGGGCACACTGCTGGCTCAAACTCAGCTTGCATCTACTGCAACTCCCAGATCCTTTTCTGTGAGGCTGCGCTCCAGCCTCTCATAGCCCAATTTGTACACATAGCCAGGGTAGGCCCATTCTAGGTGCACAGTCTGGCACTGGCTCTTGTTAAGCTTCAAGTGATTTGTGTTTGCCCAACCCTTTAATTAGACACTGTCCTTCAGCAAGGTCTTCCTACCTTCTAGGGAGTCAATAGCACCTCCTAACCCAGTATCATCTGCAAACATCCTTAATATGCATGACTATTGTGTTCCCTGAAGAGAATGGGCACTAAAATGGAGTCCTGGAGATCCCCATTAGTGACTGGCCACCAGTCTCACATAACCCTTTTACTATAACCCTTTGAGCCTAATCCATTAGTCGACTGTTCATCCATCATGCTTTGTACTTGGTTAGCTATATACTGGACATTTTGATAATGAGAGACACCATCAAAGACTTTGCTGAAATCCAAAAAGATCACATTTACTAGCTTCCCTCATCAACCAGAAAGATGACTTTGTCATTAAAGAAAGCAAGGCAGTTATGCAGGACTTTTCTGTCATAAACCCATGTGGGCCATGACCCATGACTGCACTGTCTTTCAAGTGTTTTCCAATAACTCCAAGAATAATCTTCTCCATAATTTTAACAGGCACTGAAGTGAACAGTTGAGTAGTGATGATTATAGATCATCATCTTCAGACAGTAGAGGAATAACAATACCTGAAAACAATGGTAAGGATTCAAGTGATGTTAATGCCATTAACATTTTAATGCAAACTCCGAATACACAATGAACCTTTGCTCCATTCTTGTAAAACTGAATCATCAGTGTTTCCACTGTGGCTTGTTACACTTAATTTTCTTGAGGACTTTCTCAAAAATGCAGAAAAACTGCATTAAGAGAAGATCAATGACGTAAGTCTCAACATGCTTCTTGTTCCAAACCTTTACTCAATTATGCATGTCATGCACTTAGGAAGCTCCACTCCGAAGTATGTTTTTTATTCAAAGAGATGTTGTCTGAATCTTGAACAAATCAAAACATGGCAATTTGATCCCCAGGTAATGTTTGCCAGAATGTTAAGAATTCTGCACTGTCTTGGAATGTAAAAATAAATGCACAATTGTGCAGTCCAATTAAAACTTGCTGAAAAACACTTGATAAAAACACCTCTGTTAAAAAATCTTTGCCAACACATGCATTCAAAACTGCATTTTTAAGATGCTTTGGTTTGTTTTTTTGCAAAAGTGTATTGCTGACTTGGATCCACTTATTTTACCATGCGGTAAAAAGTTTTTTTTATGCTCTCATTGATTATCAGGAGCACAGTTAATGATCCCATCAGTAGTGAATGAGTTTGTTTCCGCCCTTTAACCTCAGTAAAAACCTGTAACTGCTGAATGCAATAAGATCCTCTAAAAGAACCCAGCACAGTAACACATTAAAACATAGTTTTATCCAATCTTCACATAGCTTGCTTCATTATTTGCTAAGTCACAAAATATCTCTTTTAAACTGATGGCAAGTGAAGCAATGGAATCTTAAAGAAATTAGAACTAAGATAAATGGAAAATTCTTCCTTCTTTGTTTCTGTGCAATATTCATCTATACTGCGAAATCTTGGGGTTAAACAGTAAGTGTGTGAGAGATTACTAGTGACTACATATTTGTGATAGCTGATCAAATCTCTGCTGTCTAATCTCCAAAACATATGAGGGGGACTCAACCTGTAATGTGCTATGGGCATCAGCATTGTGAGGTTGGCTATATATAGCCTTTCACACCAGTTTCTAAAAAATTTCAAAAGCTTTTTCAAAAGTTATTAGACACTGCCATTTTAAGAACTTAAAAATCTTCAAAAGCATTAAAGATTATTTTTCCTTCTAAACCCTCCTTACTCTTTGTCTAAGACTCCTCTAGAGTCACTATACCAAGTTATAACATATTTATATACCCAGCTGCCTCTGAACTTGTAATTTCCATCAGAGCAGTATTAAGAGTTCACTTCAGAATTGCAATGCAGTCTTTGCCTGGTTGTTGTGTCAAATTTTTGAACATAAACCTACCTTACTTGCTTTCTCTTCACCTCTGGCAAATCAGGACTTCAATGGTGCATGATGGTTGGAAAACACATCCCTAAGATCTGCTTTTGGTCATGTAGCCTCCATATTTTACTGTCATGAAATCCAACCTCTAGACAGTCAAATCATATCCTTTCCTCTTCTTATTCCCACATATATTGTCTATTCCTACAACCCTGTGTTTAGCATTTTAATTCGCTTGTTTTCTTGCCGTAAGCATCTGGAAGTTTACCTGGCAATGAAAATGGAGACAGATTATCCTGTTCATTTTCCTCCTCTTGGTTCACCACAGGAATGTTCCCATTTTCAATATTCTGATGTCTCCCATTCTGAAGTGGTTTGCTTGAGCCATTTGCAGATTGGATTAACCGCTGGCGCTGCACAGTATTGAAGACAAAACTGCCGTAAGTTTCATTCTTGACTTTTTTACACCTTGGTTTTGTGAACTGTCCAGCTCAAGTCATGTGAGCCATGATGTTTCTCCACAAAGCCTTCCTTTGCCAGCAACAAGCAAATCTGTCTGAGGTCTATCTGTTTGCATGAGATCAGTGTTGACCACACACCCCAAAATTAGTGGCATGAGTACTGCAAGCCACGATCAACAAAGTTTTGAATCTTTTCTTACACACCACATCCCCATTTCTTGTCATAAATATAGGTACTACAATACTATTTCAAAAGCAAGATTAACTTGCGGTGTCCTTGTTCAAGCACGTAAAATCTCACAAAGCTCATATGTTGCCCCTACAGACAGTTACAGACAGCCCCTACAGTCAAAATACACAGTGAGAGTATGTATCAGTATATATACTACTTACTATGCTGGAGAATGTGAAATGTAACAATAATTTCCTACTCTTGTATTAAAAAAATAATAATTTACTTTGTTAGGTGAGATAACAGAGTTGATAAATGCCATCTTTTTAATGACAAACTGCTGCACCTTCATATAAACTCCTCTGATTTATCTGGAAAAATAAAGTAACTGAATGACATGCAAAAGAAATCTAGTATTAAAACACAGTAATTAAAATAGAGAAAACTCTGCAAAGCTTTGGCAGTGAGACTACATAACAATATAGATTCAAAATGCCCTGATATAGAGAATGTTTTCTGCAGATGTTGAGCAGCTAGCAAGCATCAGCTCTCTGGGCACATATACATTAAGAAGTATTTATTTCTGATAAATGAATTGCTCTAAAGAAATGCTTTTACAGAGACAGCTGCTATTTCGTGTCCTATCTGATCTTTCCCCTGTTAACTGTATTTCATGCAAGGTCACAACAGTGTCATTTGGCCAGTCCTGTCACTTCAGCTGCATGCAGGGTATGAAACAAGCAATACACAGTGGTGACAAGGCTTTAGTTAAGAGCTAACCAAAACTGTTCAGAGCAAATCCTCTCACGAAAGGATTTTAGTGCATTTTCATTTTGAGTCAATGACTATAGTGAAGATTACAAAGGCAAGCAAACATCTGTTGTGCTCCTGATGTACTGCTCATAAAAGAGGAGTTCTCACAGACTTTTGATTTGCCTGCCCGCTATTCTTTCTTATCTTGATCACTTTTCTAATGGTCAAAAACAATTCTTCTGCAGATAAAATCCAAATAGTGCATACACACACACTGAACAAACATCTGGCAGGAAGAGAAGGGAATCTCTCCTTGGTGACTGCCCTTCTACTAAGACAGACAGCATAACCAACTGGGAACTCACCTTCAGTTCTGCTGTGACGTAGGTTATTGCAGAAAGTTCTAGCCCATACCCAGAAACATGGTAGAAGCTCAATTCCATAATCACTATGACTTCTTGGCAACCCCTCTGCCTCACAGATACTTACTGTTTTTGTAACAAACCTACCTCATTAATTATAATTCGGCTTGCCATCCGCATTCTGGTACGTGGTCCAAACTTATTTGTGATCATAATCCGTAACCCAGCTTCAGGGAACCGGTATTTGGGGGGACTGGAGCAGATGATCTCATCCACCATCACAACACTGTTTTTGCCATACTGCTGCACACCCTTCACTAATGACCACAAATGGACAGAGTTAGTTGTAAGATCCACTCTTCCCATTGCCCAAATTTGTTCTCTTCAGGCACGGATTAACACTAAAGTGAATATGTGAATTTTTCAGTGACTTTCCTGCAATATTTCTGCAGCCTGGTGAACTTGTTCATCAGTGGTGCATCTCATTTAGATTACATGATGAAAAGTGATTTCACTCCAGTAAGGCAGCCACCAACATGCTCTCAGATGCCCACTACTAATGTAGCACCATTTTATTTATTTTTCCATGGCTTTGTAAGCCTTCTTCAAAATCACGCACATTGTGAAAGCACAGATAGCACTCCCAAAACCTATAAAGTTATCTTACTATGGGTGCTTAATAGATACTGACGCACAACAAGTAGTCCCCAATGTTTTGTTTGCTCCTCTTGGAAAAGAATGCACAGAATACTATCATATCTTAAACATTATAAGATTTAAATTCTGAAAATCAGCAGTTGTCCAGGAAAAAAAAGAAAGTATATTTTGAGTAAGCCTTTGTTAATATAAAGGAACTTGTAACGAGGTGAAGGGTTTTCTTCTATGATGTGAGAACACAGAGGAACAAAATTATATTCTATCAACACAAGTACAGGCGAGGACTTTTAAAGCTTAACAACAAATCAATATCCTCACAAATGCTACAGACTACATACAGCACATAAAGCAAGGCTCAGCAGACAGGAGACATACCCATATGGTGTTAGAAAGCAGGGCAGAAGATATGCATGACTGCAATAATTATTACACAATATTATATTAGGAAAAAAAAATTATTTGCTCCTTGTTTCACTGCTTTGCTTAGCTTATCTTCACCCTCCCACTCCCCTTTTACATTGTTACTTACATTAAGAAGAGGAAGAGAATGTAGGAGGTAGAAGTGAAAGATAAATATTAGTGCATGGTTCCAGCCAGGAAGCAAAGAAATCTAAGGAAACATTCAACTCAAGCAAAGGAATTATAATGGACCTGTTCTAAACACACAGAAATCTACACAGTTATAGTTTCCACTGTTACAGTGATGAAATATTTTTGTTTGTCAGAAATAAGTTTTTCTGGATCCATACAGACATGTAAAACATTATGCAATAAAGGTTGTACTGCCTCAAAGCATCTTCTAACAAAGTTATGTGAAAGCTGAAGTAACCTTCCATTTAGTCAAACACAAAAAACCAGCAAGCCTCTCAATCATCAGTAAATGGCTACATCTTTTACCCTCCTGCATGTCAGTGTGTTGCTTTGTTTCACTACAAGGAGTTAAGGAGATAATGGACTACAAGGAGTTATCTGTCACATTGGGGTGACCTGAGAAGTTAAACAGAGATCTTTGGTTTCACAAAGAAATATGTTCTTCCCCAACAATACACTCTGTAATCCACTCTGTAATCCAGTCTTGCAGTTAAATCTCTTAAGGTGAAGAGAACTAGAAGCATTTTGCATTTGGCAAACATAAAGGAGCAATTAACTGCTCCCTCTGACATTTAAAACAAATTCACCTTGCTGAGCTTTTCAACTGATGATACAAGTGAGGAGCCCAGCCATTCTTGACTCTTACAGTTAGTATGTAGTAGCTTTTCCTGTGAAAGAATATACAAACTACGAAGAAATCAGGCCTTGCAGAATACTGCCCAATCACATTAGCTAACATTTGCTATAGTTAGACAATGAAAAAAATTTTTTTACATCATCCCTGGAAAAATGGCCAGATGTCTTTTTAAGTCTCATTAGATTAATTGCACTCAAGTGAATTTTTGGTTAAGTTTCCATAGTGCTTCTTTATCTTAAAGTATTACAAAAATAGCATGAAAGCATTGCAGTTGCTTTAGAATTGCCTCTTAAAACAATAAGGGAACAGTGACAAAATGAACTCATCCTTGATAAAAACTGAGTAAAGATGTAAAATAAATCTCTGTATGTATATGAATAACTGCAGCTGTTCTGACTTACTGCAGCAAATCACTCACAGGTTTTAATAACAGCTCTATAGTCTTACTCTATGTGCCTATAAATATAGACACGTTGTCCCCATACAGGACAAATAAGCTTCATCTAAAAACTGCAAAAATCCCACATCTTCACAATTGTGCAACAGTTAATTTTTTTTTTCAATTCTCCTTTGTGATATTCCTGAGACAAATATCTTCTGAGAACACCTTCTTCTTTTGACAAACTTCCCATATTTCCTGCTCAACATGAGGGACTTCACCTACAGCCCTGCCAAAGTCAACAGAAAGCCTCTTGCTGACTTCAGTTCACCTCTAATCAGGTTATCACACCAAAAATTCCCTCTTTCATCAAGAGCTTCTGTTTTTAGGCAGGCATCAAATCATGCCACCTGGTGGAAATTATAAGAAAAGTCATGTCTGTGCTTTAAAATAGGAGCACTATTTAAAGTACTAATACTTCACCTTTACCTGTATGTGTAGGATTTGCCCTTGGAAATGACTTCAGTTTAAAGCAAAAAGCTCTCCTTTTTCTACGTGCAACTACACTAATGGAAGCTTTTATATTGTAGCAGTGGAAGCTCTAGAAAATAATTAAAAAAAACGAGCTGCATATTACCTATATACTGTGAATTAGCAGTGCTGCTGTTTCAGAAGGACACTCCTGAAGGAGGTGCAGCTCAGCTTAGGAAGCCAGCGAAGTGCCAACTAACAGGAGGTGACCGATACGGCACATGGCATGTGTCCTATTTTGATTTGAGGGAAGCAGAATAGGGATCCACGTGATGGTTTTCCAGGACAGTTTCTTGACACATAGGGTATCCATCAAAGGAGCAACTAGGCTGGCATCACCATCTTTCACTACCCAATCCAAACTCCATTATCTCCTTAACTTCTTGTTTATCTCCTCTGCTCTTTACCTGTGATAATGCCTACACTCTCACACTTCTCACAATGGTCCCTCTAATGTGGCATGTATTTTTTGCAATGAATGCTCAAGAAGGCAAAGGGAATCTCACTGAAATTGCAGTCTCAGTGCCTTTTTTTTTTTTTCTTTAAAGAAATTTACGGTGGACAACAGCTAGTGGAAAAACCATTCCTATGTGCCTGGGTTTTCTACATGAAAAGGAAATAGGTGGACGGGCAAGCAGTCTGTTATTTCCCTCTATCATAGAGTGGCCATAGAGATGAATCTTCAAAGTATACAATAGAATCATGGAATCCTAAGAACTCTCCAACCTAAATCTACTCTCTTTAAGTTTGAAGCCATTTCCTCTTGTATCACCACAGACACTGCTAAAGAGTCTGCCCCCTTCTTTCTTGTAGCTTCCCTTTAGATACTGAAAGGCTGCTATCAGGTCACCTCACAGCCTTCTCTTCCCCATGCTCAACAGCCTTAGCTCTTTCAGCCTGTCCTCGTAGGAGAGGTGTTCCATCCTTTGGATCATTTTTGTGGCCCTCTTCCGGATGCACTCCAACAGGTCTATTTCTCTCCTGCACTGAGGACACCACAGCTGGATACAGGACTCCAGGTGAGGCTTCACCAGCACAGAGTAGAAGGGCAGAATCACCTCCCTCGACCTGCTGTCCACGCTTCTTTTGATGCAGCTCAGGATATGGTTGGCTTTCTCTTGGCCTTGAACACCATCAGGGATGAGGCGTTCACACCTTCTCCAGGCAACATGTTCCAGTGCATCACCACTCTCTAAGTAAACAGTATTTTCCTAACATCTAACCTAAATTTCCCTTTTTAGTTTAAAGCCATTCCCCCTTGTCATAAGAAGGCAGTCTCCCTCCAGCTTATAAGCTCACTTTAAGTATTATAAGGCCATAATGAGGTCTCTCTGGAGCCTCCTCTTATCCAAGCCAAGCAAGTCCAGCTCTTTCCTTTCTTTATAGGAGAGGTGCTCCAGCCTGCTGATCATCTTCACTGCCCTCCTCTGGATTTGCCCCAACATTTCTGCATCGTTCTTCTGTTAGGGGCCCTAGGCCTGGATGCAGTACTCCAGATGGGGTCTTACAAAGGCAAACTAGAGGAGGACAATCACCTCATTCATGCTGCTGGCCACCCCTCTTTTGATGCAGCCCAAGATATGGATGTCCCCTTAGACTGCAAGCATGTCAGCAGCTGCTCATGTCCCCAGGTCCTTCTTGGCAGGCCTGCTCTCAAGGAGTTCTCCCAGTCTGTACAAATACGTGGGATTGTTCCAGCCCAACTGCAACACACTGCACTTGGCGCTGTTGGTTGGACTCACTAGGTTCTTGTGAGCTCACTTTTCAAGCCTATCCAGGCATCACTTCTTCCTATTCAACTGCACCCTTAAGTTTGTTGTCATACATGCAGATGACATCAGAAACCAAAAAACACCTAAAAAATAAAAACCTTTAACATCTGTATTCTAATACTGAATCACCTTTTTCCTATGTCCCCTCAATACATCAATTCCCTAGCAGGTATCCTCTAAAACTTGATACGACTGTACCTCCATGTAAGAGTGATAGACTTCAATATATCACAGTCAGTGTTCACAAAAAAAATCATTGCAAATGAGACCAACATATTTCAAAGACCTCTTCACTTAATTATGCTACCATTAGAGTTACTTTAAATTCAATATTAAATGGCTGTCTAAACAACGTAAATTAGTATGTGCGCTATCATTGTATAAGCGCAAGTGATGCTACCTACTTTTAAGAGATCCTGGTATAAGACCAAAAGCAGAAAAGAGCAGGATTATCTGCATCTGCTGTAAATTCCTGTTTGTCATTATTTTTTACTACATGGGGACCTTTCTAAATTTTTCCTCATTGTTGCTGAGCTCATCTTCTAGAATGTGAGATGTTTGCTCAGAACACAGCAAGGAGACCTCACTCATAAAGAGTCGCTCAAGCTCACTGAACTATATAGCTGGAGCTTTGAACAGAGCAATGATTTTTCTCTATAGAAAAAAAAAGGGAATAGTAGAAAGAAAGGCAAACAAGCTTAGAGAAAAAAAAACCAAAAACAACCAAAAAGCAAAAAAAACAACAACCTGGGCATGTTTTTTTACCTGCTGTACCTGATGTTGAGTGTCATCTTCTTACCCTTTATGACAACGAAACAAACAGTGAAGAATCTGCATTGGTCACTTTTACATATGTGCTTGGCAATGTATGCAGAGCTATATAGGCATGTCAAAATCAGTCTTTTGAAGATCTTCTGAACTCAACATGTAATCCCTTTTGCCCACTGATCTGTGGCCTTTCCATCTACACTCAACCTTGAGCTTTTAGTTCCAAACTAGTCATTCTTTTTTTTTTTTTCAAGTGAAAACAACCTTCTTCTTGGCAAAAAAATATTTCTTTCACAGCTGAACAGAAGAGAAAAAGGAAGCAGAACTGCTCATGTGCAAAGCAGTTTATTTTCAGAATCTCTACAAAATATAATTTTGATTTTTTTTTGTCAACTGGTGGCCTGACTGCTGAATTTTCAAGTCAATCCAATAAAATATCCTACTTAAGACTGAATTATAACAGTGTTTTAATCATCATTAAAGAGAAAAAGGGATATCTTGTGAACTGTTATTTTTCCAAGTCCTGTCTGCTCAGCCTTACCTTTCCACAGTAATGGAATGGATGGGTCATCACAACTAGAGGCATAACATTTATTACCATCTTCCATCTCATTGTCAACCGTGTCACCATTTCCAACATTCTTGCTTTTGAGAGTGAAGAAATTTTGCATCTTCACGTTGTACCTGAAAGTGCAAAAAAGGTCTGTTACATTTCTTCAACAAACTTTTAAACACCTGAGAACAATTTCTGCAAGCAAGCAGTAAAACATAGATGCACATCCTCTGACAACTAATAGGAAGTTAAGAGAAAAGACTACTCCATTCAGTGGCAGTGTGATAGCATAGCAAGGGCTGTACTTCTCTCATAAGACATAGCAGAATGCAAAAAAAAGATCAGATTCAGGGAAAACAGAACACTGGAGTAATGGATTTTGGAATCAGCACATTCACTATACTATGGCTTCTTTCCTTTTGCACCAGCTGTCAATTTATCTCACTGCTTCTCCGAACACGGTGTTCCCAAGTGCAGGCACATATTTGGAACAAAAGTGATTAAGCATGAAAATGCAAGGGACCATACATAGAAAAATGGCTGGCTGCATTGTTCTCAGGAGGAGAGCCAAGGACAAAAACACACCAAATGGTCTATAAACATCTGAAGAGAAGAAATACAGAAGAAAGAAGCACTTACTTCATGATAAGTATGTAGAATGAATACATAATGATGAGTATAAGGCTTTCCCACCTCAGAGAGACAAAAAAAAAAAAAAAAAAAAAAAAAGAGTTAAAAGACCACTCAAACAGCTGTATCCTTCACAAGTTTTATATAGGAATGTTATATAGGAATGTTCATTAAACATCTAGTTCAAGTCACATTTGTGCACACAGGACTCACATCTTTTAGATTCGATGGTGTTTCAGGATGGGGAAAGCAAAGCCTATCGAGTTCTGATAAACATGCAAATAAAATGCAATCCATGTATTCCAAAAACATGCTACATAAACAGAAACCAGAGCTGCCCTCTGAGGATCACAACACCAAGGCATTCTGTTGCATCTGTGCTGAAGCACAGGCTAGGCACTCTTTTAGAAGACTCTTTCAGAAGACGCCTATGATCTTCCACTGGAATCCCATCTTTTCCTATTCTCTGGGACAGCTAGTACAACTGTAAATGTTAACAACTAGAATAAGAGCAGAAAAACTTTCTTGAGTGTTGTTTACAGGTCACATGAACGAAATCTAGGTATGCTGCAAAACCATTAACTGATCAGTATCATGGCAAATACAGTATGTTAAGGAATAGTCTAGGCAACTTACCATTCTATTTTCTCATCATATATGAACTAGAAAGAAAAATAAAAGGAAACATAAGTTTACATTTTTCTCATCTGTCTTGAAAACATTCAAATTTATTAAATAAGTATCAGAATCTAGCCAGAAGCTACTGGAGATTTCCCCTTTTGACCCTTTCTAACCAGAATCTTCACCATATGGATTATGCTTCTCATAGCTCTAAAGCACAAGATTTTTGGACAAGGCTTGGATCCCCGTTAATGACAGGGACAGTGTGATGCATGTAATGACTAAGAACAGTGTGAGCATGTGAGAGACATTTCACTTCTACTTTTAGAAGTAAAAACACATTTTTGCTCTGCTTTGTATACTCCTTGTGTCTAAATTGGAGAGAGATGGATTTGAAGGGTGGACTATTTGACTGATGAGGAATTGGTTGGATAACCACATCCAGAAAGCTGCAGTCAGTGGCTCTGTGTCCAGGTGGAAATCAGTGATAAGAGGGGTCCCTCCAGGTTCCGTACTGGACTCACTAGTACTTAATATCTTTATTAATGAGACAGTGGAAGACAGTGGAATCAAGTGCACCCTCAGCAACTCTGCACCAAGCTGGGTGGTGCAGCTGACACAACAGAAGGAAGGGATGCCATCCAAAGGAGCCTGGACAGGCTTGAGAAGTGGGCCCATGAGAACATCATGAAATTCAACAAGGTCAAGTGAAAGGTGCTACACCTGAGTTAGGGGAATCCCAAACACCAGTACAGACTAGGAGATGAAAGGATTGAGAGCAGCCTGGCAGAAAAGTACTGATGGATGAAAAACTGGGCATGAGCTGGTAGTGTGCTTGTAGCCCAAAAAGCCAATTGTATCCTAGGCTGCATAAAAAGAAACATGTCCAGCAGAGCAAGGGAGGTGTTTCTTCCACTCTACTTCATCCCTGTGAGACCCCAGCAGGAGTACTGTGTTCACTTCTGGAGCAACATAAAAGATGTGGACCTGTTAGTGTGGATCCAAACGAGGGACACAAAAATGATCACAGGGATACATCATCTCTCCTACAAAGAAAGACTGAGAGCTGGATTTGTTTAGTCTGGAGAAGAGAAGGCTCTCAGAAGATCCTTACTGGAACCTTTTAAGACTTAAAGGAATCTTGTAAGAAAGATGGAGAAAGACTTTTTGAAAAGGCATGTAGTAACTGGACAAGGAGTAATGGTTTTCAACTGAAAGAGTGTAGACATAGATTAGATATAAGAAATAAATTATTCACTGAGAGTGGGTAGGCACAGAGAAGCTGTACATGCCCCCTCCAAGGAAGTGTTCAGTGGTGGGCTGGATGGAGCTTTGAGTTACCTGATCTACTGAGAGATATGCCTGTCCATGGTGGGGTGGTTGGAACTAGGTGAGTTTTCATTCCCTTCCAACCAAACCATCCCATGATTATACAATGCCTTTTAACTTCAGTATCTGATCAGGCAACTAGTGATCTGTACTTCTAGAAATCAAATTAAGTGGCTTCTTCCCTTCCCTGCCACTATAAAAGTGCATGTTCAGATCTACTTCACTGTTCTAAACAAAGTGATATCTCACTGGTGCTCTATTTAGAAAAATTCACTCAGAATCTGTGAAATAAAACTACTGTGAAGAAGCAAGACACAGACACTTTCTCTATTTAAAATAGAGGTGCAAGGTAGAACTCAAAAATTCTCATATCCAGTAGCAGTCCTGTGTCAGAAGAGAGTGCCAACTGCGCCATACACTGCTGGTCTCCAGAACTTCACATACCATAGGTACAAACTGAATGGATATGGATTGACATGATGGACACACATTCTGTGAGACTGTATAAAAGTTTTTGTATTTGGCAGATATAGTGGTGCTGAGTTTTCACTTCTGGATGTCACCAGAATTAGTTAGGAAAATAATCATTAATCAGCACATATCAATGCTTAGCAAACAATTCCTCCAAAATCAAGCAATAAAACTCTTTAATTGATAAGAGAGCTACTTACAACAATAAGTACGATAACAGATAAGGTGTAGTACACAGAGTCTCGGAACACAGCCCACTGGGTAAGACAAACCACCTGAAAAATATCACAGCTTTAGACAACGAAAGCAAGCAATTCTAAAGACAAAACAATGGCTTCCATCTTGCAATCATTTGGTTGCATGAGCAGAATTATGCTCAATCATTCTGGAACAAATAGTTTTATGCTAACAGGATCTTGTCAGTCTGTTAGACAATGTATCTATAATAACCAGTGTTGATAAAAATAATCTAGAAACTTCCATTTATGAAACAGATTTCTTACTAATAATATTTTAGTTTACCATAATTTCAACTGTAAAGTACAACTCGTAGTGCAACAAAGCAATGGCTCCCATATCATTCTAATTGTGGATGACTAGCAGACTAAATACAGAAAACTATAAGATACACAGTCTAACCACCCAATGAATAGATACAAGAAATCTCATGACTTTGTCCTAATTTTTTTTTTTTTTTCAATCAGAATCAGAACCAGGAAAGATTAGCAGAGGCCCCTGATCTGATTGTGGACACAGCATTGTATGAAGAGGAATGAGGTTCTTCTGTATGCTGCACGTTCAGAGTGTTGAAACTGCAGTTGAACTTTTTGGAAGTGTTTGCTATTTGCAAAGCGTTCCATATTTTTTTTCCCAAACTGACAGTTCCTCAGCTGTCAGCTCATTTTTTGTTGGCTTTGTTGTGTTTTTATTAATGGTTCTTCCTCATTTTTTTTCCCCTCAAGTACCTGTTCATGCAATCCAATCAAATATAAGCAATTGAACTCCACAAAGAAAAGCATCTTACTAACCTGTCCTGCAAACAATCCACATACACCGACAATGCAGAGGATGTTGAAAACTGCTGAACCGACAATGGTCCCTACTCCAACATCTCCATGAGTGATAAATACACCTGCAGAGGAAAAAATGTTACTACCTCCACCACTTCATTTTAGGCCACAGATAATTAGTCAAAACACGTACTACTTAGGAATAACAAATCATTTGAGAGTTCTACTGAAATATATTTCATAATAAACACTCATTTCTCTGTGGAATATTTTGTGCTTTTAGACTAGCTAGCAGCTTCACATTTTTGGATGAACATGTCTATATGTACGTATTGTATATGTACATGTATTTTTATTAAAATTAAATCATTGCCTTACCCAGTTAGTTCTACACTAAGTCCCGCATTTCACACTTCAGATGTTATTGGTGTAGTAATCCATTCAAATGAGTGAAAAATATCTCCACTCACATCAGAAGCATGAAATTCCTCTCACACAGTATAATAAAGCATAGAAACTTCTCTCTTGGGCATTCAATATTTAGCAGCTTTTTGAAATGTCTCATAGTAGTAAGAGATTCTTACCTCAAAAAACTGTGAGTGTTCTTGGGTGCAGTAATGTATGTCTTCTAACTCCAACAGGCAAACAAGATTCAAACTTAACTTATTCTAGTACCAAATTTCACATTTCCTTTAGTTCAAAACTCACATATGCCTCAAATACTTATCTGTAATAAAATTCTATCAGAATGGCAAAAATATAAGGGCTGGAAGAGATCTGTATGTATTATCCAGTTTAATCTTCAACACTGAGACAGGACCAAAGACAACTTCTTACTTCTTGAATGCACTACAGGGCTGTGTCTTGTACTTCAAATGTTTCACTAAAGGGAGTCTTAAATACTTACTTTTTTTTTTGAGATTACCTTTAAGATAAAAATTTCTAAACCTCCTACCACTGTGTGTGTGTGTGTGTGTGTGTCTGTGTGTGTCAATGCATCTGTTCTATTTTGTCTGCAACTTCTTTGAAACTCATAAAATCATTGGATATAATACTCCAAATGCTGTCTAGTGGAACTGAACAAGGCAGGATACTTTATAAAGCTGATGCTTTATAAACGGGTCTAATATACAATCACCTGTTACTTGCAACATCCCATCATCAACTGTTATTTGACTCCTGCTTCTCTTGCAATACATCAATGTCCTTTCAGATCTACAGCCCTCCGAGCAGTTACTATACCCTTTGGGTATATATTCATTATTTTTATGTTTCTCATTTTCTGCCATTAAACTTCATCCTGATTATTTCAAATTGGTCAAGATCCTTCTTTATCTGCAGCCTTCCATCTGGTGTCCATTTTTTCACTCAAGTTATATATAAAAATAAGACTGAAATTTGTAGGATGTCTTCAGCTGCATCTCCAGCTTTAAACCTAGCTTTTAGTTAATTAATATTTGAAATCTGCTTTCTAATAATTTGGGCATGACTTTACAGTACATTCCTTTAGACTGCATTTCCCTAAAGCTTATATCACTGCTAGTCATGATAGTAGCAGAAAGTATATTAAAGCTTTACTAAAAACAGATGAATCATATTTGCTGCATTCTCCCTTCCCTACTAGCATAATCCTATCTTCAATGGTTCTGCTTTTGTCGCTGAGACCTTCTTTCTATATAAATAATCCCTAATAGTATAGAGATTACTTGAAAAAATTCAGTAAGTAATGTACGCAGAACATTATGTCTTTCTGACTTTAGCAGATCTATATTAATTTGCTCTTCTTCCATGTTTCTTGTTCTCCAATTTCCTTGCTAAAATTAATTTCTTTTATTTATCAGAAAAGAAGCAAAAGACACATCAAATACTTCTAATTCTTTCTCAAGGGACGGATACAATACAACTCTTCTTTTACTTTCAGTACTCAGAATCAGCCATTCCTCTCTGTGTTTTGAGAGGAGATTCACAGTTTCGTGAGATATTTTGAGTAGTTAATTATACCATGAACTCCAGATTAGCTGACAGCTGCAATTGCTGTCTATAGTTTGACAGAAGAATAGTAGCATTTCTGGATGCCTCTGCTTGACCTGCTGCTGACTTTTTTAAGAACTCTCATGAAAGCCAGTGTGTGGGTTCCATACCTATAACAGATGCAAACAGCTCTGGCGTGGAGCTCCCTGCAGCCATGAATGTGGCTCCAGCAACATCTTCACTCAAATGCAGTCTCTGGAAGAGAAGTATTGGATATGCTCCTCAGTTTGCAGTGCGCAGTTATACAGCTGTAACAATAGAAGCCCTACATTTTTTGGCCACCGAGCTATTAAAGAACAAACAGCCCCCCTGATACAGAACTATACATTGCCAAACGTATAGTTGGCAAATACACTTTGGGCAAATAAAATGCTTTTAAATGCTAAGTCAGTGGTCACATAATACTGCCTACTTCTAAATAACTGATCAGATTATAGTGGCTTTGATGTTAGAGAGAAGCATCTCTTGCACACTCAAAAAGATTGTAAACTCCAATGGCTTTCAAGAATTCACTTTTGGAATTCTAAACACAATCATGCAAGAATTAAGGTCAATTCTTGGAGTCTCTAAAATGTAAATCTGGTAACAGAAAAATATAACCTCTGTGAATGAAACTTACTAACAACACTTGTATTTCTATCTTCACTCACAACAAAATTAGTCCAATTAGATAAAGACAGGCCTGTGCATGGCAGTTAGATCTATTTTTATGACAGTGTCTCTTAAGCGCTAATAGGATATAGGTGCCTTAGGTGCCTTAGACTTCTAAGACCAATAGAGATGTTTAGCTTCAAAAGTGGGCTGCGACAGTTTAATACTGTCTGAGAATATTCTCCTTGAACTATAAAGACAGCTTTTTTTGAGACCATCCAGACTAATCGTTAGTACCTCATTTCTCTTAAAGGACAGAAAAGTGAATAATGACAGGAAGGACCAGTACAGAAATAACGTATTTCTCAGGCAATACACAATATTTTATACTGATAAAAATGGCATGCTACAAAACATGACAAAACAGAAACACATTTTCTTATTTTATCATGTGATCACTAGTCATACTGCTGAAGGAGCTCAAACATAGGTACACGATTTGAATTCTTCTTAGCTGTCTCAATATTCAGAAGAACATGAGACAAAAGACAAAGATTTTAAGAAAGAACAATGAATTAATTGGTACAACCCAACTGGTACAATTTAAAGAAGGTGTGTATGAAGTATGCTGAAGATAGAAGACCTGAAAAGGGAAAGAATAGATTCCTATTTAATACTTTGTTCATCTTGGTTGCCTCCCTAATTCTTCCACCTGTCCCTCTACTGATAAGTAAAAGTACATAGCTCTACATAACATTAATAGGAATTGCATATCTGTCTACATATCCATAGGAAAATTGACATGCTTTTATATTAATTACATGCATTTTTCAGAAAACGGTCACTTTCTTAAAAACAATGAACATGAGTTTTTCCAATTTTGCCATCAAAAAGGAAGAAAAATCTGGTTTTGTATTTTGTGTGCACTTCGCAATAGTCCACTGAACACTTAACCAATACAAGATGTTCTTGCCATGTATAGGTTCTAATCCCTCCTGATGATCACTCTTAATTAGAATTCTGCGGGTAATTTTTCAACATCTTCACAGCAATTACGTAAAGGAATTTGCTATTTTTATTTAATATAAAAACATGTATTCTCATTCCATATCAAATCACGATAGATACTTTTCATTTACATTCTCCCTTTTCTACACCTGATCCTAGGCACCTGCTCCATGTTGATACAGTGGTGGATGCTTAACAAAAATTGTACAGCCAACGTATTAATTTGAAAATGCACAATTTTTTTTTCTTCACAAATGAATCTTAAAACTAGAGTACAGTAACAAACCCAAATCATCCATATTTCATATCCACCCTACCTACATGCTTCAGACACTCAAGAGTGGATTTTGCCAATTGACCTCCTGAAATTTTTCATTTTTGCTCCTTGAATGACCCCATGGGGACTAATGGGCTAAGTTTACAGCTTAGATTTTTGATGGAATGCCTTAATACTCTGAAAAGGACTGCAGCCAAAAAATTAACAGGAAGGAACTCCAAACAATGAGGGCACAAAATGTTCACTGCAGTGTGTAAATACGTTTTCAAAAGAGCGATAAAGTTCTTTAACATACCTCACAAATTTTCTCTAAGGATGGAACAAAGAAGTCATCACATACTATAGCCAAAGCATAGAACATATACAGAGCCTGTAAGAAAGTAAATTCAAGAAATACTTCAGATGTTTCCTCTGCATAAAAAGAGGAAAAAAGTAATGCTACATTAATTCAGACAGATAAGAATACATAACTTCATTTTCTACCCCATTTTAAACAAAAACACCTCTGCTGATCAATGCATGGCATAAAAGTAGATTCTTATACCTAGGGTTAGGACAGTAATGGTTGCCAAACCCTAGAATCTGAAAAGCATGACAGTCTGAATGAAAAGGGTGTAAAAAAAATTTCATAGACAGGAAAATAACAGGCAGGACTTTACCAGTTACGTGGTCCTCATTTATATTTTCAATTGATAACTGGATCAAGTAATTGAAAAGAAAGCCACACCATGCAGATTAGCAACATAAAATAATCATACCTAGAAATAAGTGGACCCTGAGCATGGCTCATTGCAACACACCTCTCAGTAATGATTCTGATTTCATGCATACTTACAATGCTCCCACTATATTATGTAACCTTATGTTTCCTGAAAGTAGGCCTAATCCTGCTGTTCTGCATCAAAAACGTCTTCTTTGTTACATTATTTTTCCTGAGCTGAGAATGGAAAACTGAAGCCTGTAGGTCTTACTTGTTTTGCTTTTTCTACAATAAAATATAAATCTCAAAGTGTTTTTTTAATATATATATTTCATCAGATTTGCATTTTTTTTTATTACAATTGCATCTTTTGCATACAGGAACAATAGAAAAGAAAGAGATTCAAGAATCTTCCACATCACAGATTATGTCATCAACAAAGGAACCCCAAGCCCTGTTTACAATGCCTCTGTGCTTCATGGAGCCAGGATTTTATCAGCAAGAGGATGAATATACAGGCACTGTAAATTCAGACCTGTATAATATTCTTAAATAAATACTACTTTTTGAGCATTTGTACCCACACAGGGATATCTAAAATACAAAATCAAAGTATTAGAAATAGGTCAATAAATACAGAGGGCTGTTTGTTAAGGGTTAATGATAAAAAAACTAACATGATCAATATCTTACAAAAGAAATAAAAGAAAAATTAAGCACGGTAGAGGAAAACTTACAGCAATGATGTGAAGGAGAACCCCTCCTTGCTGCCGTTCTTTATTTGTGAATATATCGTCAGGAAATTCATGAATGGCTGAAACAGAAGTATACATATTTTATGTATTTTACAGGACCTACAAACAGAATAGTGAAGAATAAGGATACACCTGTAGAAAAATATTACCAAACATGAGTGTATCTTCCCACTTAGTACACTGCAACCTGCCAAATCAGAATCTCTTTTCTGCTTTGTAGAAAAAAACAGAGAACTGAAACTATTATAGGTGTCACTATTTACTATCATACTAGTCACTTAAACCAACCTCCAGTGTACCAAACATGATACATTATTAATGTCCTATTTTCAGAATTAACTCTCCTGAATGGTCTCTAAATATACTTCCAAAATGGTCAGCACAGGCACTAAAAACACCATTCTGAAATAACAGTCTTGGCTTTAAGTGTGGCTTGCTCTGAAATATTATGCAATGACTGTAACAATCCATCAAGTTCTTAACTGCAAATTTTTATATAACTCTGCAAATCAAACAACAAACTGTTCACAAAGAATAAAGTTATTCCAAGAATTTTCCCATGAAGACTACTATCAATATCTAGCAAACAAAGAGATGAAACAGAAACAATAGGTGGAAAATAGGAATGTATGAAGTCATGAGTTCTGGGATTAATTCTGTGTGGCACTGAGGTTGTGTACAGTTCAAGTGAAGAATTTATGTTAAACACAGAGGCAAGAGGGTGAAAAATGGACTGAGTTACCAGCCATTCATGAATCACCAAACACACTTGAAATTCTTAGCTGTAGTGAGAGGACACTCTAGTTTCAGACTAGAATTACTTTTCAATTCTAAAGTGTTTGAGTTTTTACAAATACAAAAACAGTCCATTTGTAGTCCGTATATTCACATGCTTCACGTGTTTAGCTTCATAAAGACTTGAAGCCTGTTTGTGCAAAGGTCGAGATTTCATAGCTTGTTTTTTCACTTGGTGTCCATTACAACAAACACATCATCTTGGAATGAATATTTTGGCAACAGGTTGTTTTTAAAACCTTACGTACACTAATCTTACCTTCCTTCCAAAAGTCCAATTTACCATTTTGTGAAATCTCCCTAAATTCTTCAACCCACTATTTAAAAATCACTACAGTTTGCTTAATGGTACTAACAATCTGTAAAACACTTACAAGTTCAACAATGATGACTTACTGCAATTCCTTTACTGATTTCAGTAGGCCTTTCATTAAGACCTGCTATCACTAAGACCTGTTGTATTCTGACAGGAACCAGAATTAGCACTTCATATGTTGAACAGAGCTTTTCCAAAATAAAGATGCTTCTTTTCTTTTAAATCTTAGAAAAGAAAAATCGTTCAAATTTATTGTAAATTTTCTTCAGATATTTCTGATACTCCTAATCATAGGTAAATGTTATTATTTCTGGTCCTCCTTCAGTAATCACAAGGAAAAATGAAATATGTTTATTTATCCATTTTTCCATATTTATATATGGATATAAACTAATTCACCAGTACAACTGCATAATAATACTCATTAAATAATTGAATAAGCAGAACGCCATTCAAGAGTATGCAGAGTACCTCTGCACCTAAAGATCATCAGCACACCAGTATTTTTCAGGATTTGTTTCAAGAAAGTGGGTCCAGGTTGCTACATAACTCCACATCACAGCCTGTGAGCTGCACTGCAAGGAGATGTGTGGCCTTACAGAACAGAATGGCTGTATAAATGCAAGTCATACCATGAGTAAAAGACATTTGCCTATCAATCCAAACAAACTCAAGTACATGTAAAATAAAAAAACGGGTCACTTTCCTTTCTGTACAGTTTTTCACTGCTTACCTGTGAACAAGGAAAATGACAGCAGAAATATAACATTAAGTGGGAGAAAACTGGTTGCACTGTAGTCTTGAGATATTGTATTTATAGCAAACATCAGAAAAACCCACAAGCTGCTGGTCAAGATGCAGCAATCTGCAGTGACTCTACCTACAGATGAGTATTTTAAGATACTGGAAGAACCTTATATAAATTTAACAGTCAAGCAGGCTTCCTGTAGTAATGTATTACTATTGTATACCATATACTTTTATATATAAATATATATATATGTATGTATGTATACACTACTCTAAGTATATACTGTACTGTTATTAGTTGTATGCAATTTAGTTAAATTCAGTAATATCATTCCCTCCATGTGGCAATTAGGAGGAATATCCTTTTGGAACCAACGCTGGAAAGTCAAAAATATAAGAACTTGTCAGCCTCACTTGCTGCCAAAAGCAAAATTTCTCAGAGGAGTTATTTGCTGCCATATGAAATACAGAATGGGAAAAATTAATCAGCACCCAAAGCATATGTTTTTAAATAAAAATCCAGCCATTAAAAATTAATTAAAATAATTAATAACTAAAAAAGCATTAAGGAGCCCTCTTCTCCAGGAGAAAAAAGTGCTACAGCTTCTGACATGCTCCTACACAATATGATCCTTCCTGCAATACTGGCTAAAATACCATGACCAACATGGGAGCATACAAACCATGTATATGAACAACTACATTCTTTATTACACTCTCCATTTGTCTTTCATCTCCTCCATTCAAAACAGGGCTGCAGGAGTGCAAGTATTCCAGCAGTGGCCCAGGACAGCAGAGATAAGAGCCCTGGCCTGAGACTCCAGCAGTGCTGAAGCAGAACTACAATATGGGGTGCGTCCTTCCATATAATGGGAAGGTTTGTAAAGGTTTGTACCCACCATGACAAGTAGCTGCGCAAGAAACACCATTTCCCCTACTGCCACCCAGAGGGACTATTCCCTGTTGCATGATTTGGCAAAACTAATGTGTCATCAGGGGAGCTATTACCCAGCTGGCAATTGCCTTCCCTTCACTGTAGAATATTTCACAGTATAACACTAACAGTGATTGAACCAGTATAAACCAAAATCTCAAGAAACGTTAATAAAAAAACAGTAATGGTATCTTTCCAATGCAATTTCACTTATGCAAAGTTGATACTAAATAGGAAATCAAAAGACCAGAAGACGTCAAAGAAAAGAAGAGGGAAATGAGCCAAGGCTTCCGATGCCAAGGAAAAGCAAACAGCTTCATTGCAAACCAACACGGTTCATATGCAGAGTAAGATGATGTTGTATTTCTAATAACTACTTGAACTAAACACCTCCTCGCGTCAGAGAGTCATATGAATAAGCACAAAGAGCTTTTCTGTAACGTAACACTTCTCTCTAAATCGAACTCACATCATGCAATTCTTCCAATACATAGATACTACAAAATCTTTAGTAGTCAGGGAAGTTAAACAAGTTTCTGGACTCTGCTAAATAAGATTTCATCCTTAATGAAATGGCTACCTGCCAGTGATATCCAAGGTAGTCTGCAGCTTTTTAGCGTATTTGCTTTTTTCATGGTTTTACTATCCAGATAATCGTAAATTTGGAATAATCATCATCTATAAAGTCTGTATTTTTCCTTATTTACTCACTGTACTGTGTTTTCAAGATTTTAAACACAGATCTGTTTTTCTTATCTACTGCTCTGGTAATCCGGTTGATCACGAAAAGACTGTCTGGACTCAGATTCCTCAGGCCTGGGTATCTTCATCACTTAAGCAAAGGGCAGTGGCATTCTCTCATTTGTACAAGCTAACAAAGGGGGTATATCATTACTGTGTTTCTGCTCTGCCCACAGCCTACAATATGGTGGGTTCAGGCAGGAGAGCACCGCTCTACCTCAGCAGAGATATTTTCTCACGTATGGGAGACGTGGCGATCTGGCAGCCTGAGTGGGAGCTACATCTCCTTAGTTTTCACTGAAAAAAGACAGAACAGATGGGAAGAGGAGCTGAAAGCAGTACATCTAACAGGGCTAACCTTTGCCAAAAAAGGAGAAGAACATACACCAATCATCTTTAAATCAACTAGAAATACAGAAATATTTATCCTGCTGGTACTGCTGCAAAACCATGACTCCTGCAGCTCAACTTATCAAGCACAGGGGGAAGGGAGGGCACAAGAAGGCCAAGTCTATACTGAAATTGTGATTGTTCTGCAGCTAGCTCCCTCTCCCCAAAAATGACATGAGCAGGGACACAAGGAAAGCTTCTCTAACCACAAATTTGAGGTAGTGATACTGCCACCTTTTACTCCAAATGTTGAAAATATTAAAAACATCTTGATTGTGATATGACAGGAAGGATGACTCATCTTTGATAGAAAGCTCTGGCTGAGCTGCCTGTGGCTAAGGAGCTAACACAAGTATGCAAAGAGCATGCCCCACAACAGCACATCACAGAACCGCAGAGCTTAAGATGTCTGCGTGACTCTGAACGCAGATCTGATCTGCAGCAGACAGGGGTAACCCAGGCATGCCAGTGACACCGGCCCGTGCTTAGGCTGTTACCAGATTACTTCTGGGTTCCAGCAGAGCGTTGTTCCCATATGCCCTGTCCATACTGTGTGAGGCAGTCTGCCAATGAAGTTAAATTTCAAAATCTCCTAAGCCTGACAGAACATCTCAACAACCACGTGGATCTGTGGTTTTATAACCCACCTCGACACGTGATGTCTTCACCTTATCAGCTCTTGATTTACTCACACAGGCAACAAACATGCTGACCCTTAATACCTGCTAAACGTTCAAGCATGTTACACCTCTTTACCTTCTCCTCATAGGAAGAAAGAAGCTGTAGATTTTTGAAAATACATTATCAACTGGTTCCCTCTGCCTTTGCAATGAAGGTGATCAGGCAAATAACACACACATCTTTTCTTTGTGAAAGCTCTTTGGGAATATTTCCTGCTAATTTATACCAGTTCACATTGAATGGAATTTTGTGCAATACTGAGTTCAAGAAATGTTTGGACAATGCTCTCAGAAACGTTATTTGATTTTGGGTGGTCCCACGTGGAGTAGGTCTCAGTGATCCTTGTGCAGTTCCTCCAACTTGGGATTGGATTTCTGAAATGCCTGCATCTTGTTCCCCCTCTGCCCTGGGTGCACATGTCAGGATACATTACATATACAAGCTGTGATATC